AAAATGTGACCAATCAGCTTCTACCTCTGTCACCATCCCTGCCATAAGGGCTCTGTCTCTTTTGAATTGTGAGCTAAAACAAAGCCTTTCATTCCTGAGTTGTTTTTTATTCTGGTGTGCAATTGCAGCAACAGAAAATGAACTGATATAAGCCCCTTTTCCATTAAGCCTTCATCTTTCTGACAATATGTCAGACATATGGTAAAACCTTCCCAGATTTGGCCTTAGGAAGATTACCTGGGAAGGGAAGAGTGGTGAAGGAATGTGTTTTTGTTCATACTAAATAAAAGCTATGCCTAAATATCAGATAATGTCCAAGAGGAACTAAAAGAATCCCCAAGCTCTGAAATGTCCAGACACATTTCCTCAGAGAATGACAAGTATCACAAATGTTTGCATGCTCCTCAGATGTGCCTGCCTTGTAAGGGAACGGTGGGAGTGAGGGAAGGAAATGGGAAAATATAAAGGAGATCTGTTCAAGCGTTGTACAGCCAGCACTTGTATTTTGGAAAAGTTATGCCATGGACATATGAAAGACGTTTAGTTCTATTCCTGCATTTTACTCAGAGTTGGCCAAGTAGATTTAATTTGAAAAATTAAGATTTATCATTTGATAAGGACAGATCCAGAAATAGAATCTCAGGACTCTAATTTAAACTAAAGAACATGGTCTCTGTATCATTTAAGTGCCTTGGGCTCTCTTTAAAACCATCCATAATATACTCACACAAATCATTAAAGGAAAAATGAAATGAAAGCTCACAGGACTAGAATAACTCTTCCTGTTTTCCATTTAATATTTGGATAGGAACGATTCTTGGAAATGATCACAAAGGCAGAAATTACTGGCTTAATTCTAAATAGATTTTTGTTTATTCCTTTCATGTTATTTTTGGTATGCTGGCTGTGGCGGTGGCATCCTGGCTGTGGTGGTGGCATGCTCAATGTTGGTATAACTGGTTGCTCAGAAAGTAAGACTCCTGACAGTTTATTCCACTCTGCTCCACAGACAAGCGGAGGCTCTGAAAGTGGGCCTAAAAATGCATATAAATCTTCCCCCTTGCAGCTGCTTCTTGTTCAACAAGGAAGAGGTTTACTTGGGTTATACTTCCACGTTGCCAGGAACCCAAAACAGGGCAGGCACCGGGAGGCAGGACCTGATGCAAAGACCATGGAGGAATGCTGCTGACTGGCTTGCTTCCCATGGGCTTGCTCAGTCAACTTTTGCTTATAGAACATAGGACCACAAGTCCAGGGATGACATCATCACAATGGGCTGGGTCCTTCCCCACCAATCACTAATTCAGAAAGTACCTTACAGCTGGATTTCATGGAGGCATTCTCTCGATTGAGATTCTCTCCTTTCAGATAACTAACTTGCATCAAGTTGACACGAGACTAGCCAGCACAGGGTGTCACTTAAGAAAACAGTAGTCCCAAGGGCTGCTACACGAAGCTCTCCTGTCTATTTAAGGAGAGACAGGCGATTGTGACATGTCTGTTCAAACTTGCCTTAGCTGATGGGAACCACTTTAAATATAAGTTCCTAATCCGAAGCTCAGTTTTGTGTGCAGTGGTGGCACTTGACAGGCAAATCTGTCACACTTGTGTATTTCAAATGGGCAGGAGACAGTGTTGTCAGCGGCACCTTAGGACACACTGCCTTTGAGGGGCGCTTTCTTCCCAGGATCTGAGGCCTAAAAGACGTATTGAGAAAATGTACTACTGTGCAAAATGCAGAGTGATGAGACCGGGTGGGGAAGCCTCTTGGCGATTGAGTGCTGTCACGCTGTCCTTGCAGAGCTGGGGGAGCTTCGTGTGCTTTCAGCAGAATTACGCTCTTACAGGAGGAGCCTCAAGCAGTAGGAATGCTGCCACTCCACTGTCACGGTTCCTGGGTCCACCTGCCACCACTCCACTGGAACTGTTAGCACTGTTCGTGTCCATTTGTTACAGATTTTGCAACAGGATTGCTTTTGAATATTTAAATCCACACTCTGCTTTAAAGCTGTATTTGATTTTCATAAACTGTCTCGGAGGCCCAATTACTTACCATTCCTTCTCTTGCCTGGGATCATGACCTTGTTACCTTCTTCATCCCAGCTAACCGTGCCATCTCCTACTCCTTTCTAGCCTGTATCCAGCTCCACACTGGGAAGGAACTTCTATTCCCAAACCCGTGGCAGCTGCCACTGGAGCTGCTGTAGGAAACTAGGACCCTTGTAGTCACCTGGTTTTTAATGTCACTCTATTGAAGGCTCCCAAACCTCCCTCCAGAATTCCAGTGTCATTTACACATTTGCCTTCACAAACCCAAGACAGCTTACGACCCAATTGGACTTTTGTTTTATTTATTTATTTATTCATTCATTCATTCATTTTTGGTTTTTTTGAGACAGGGCTTCTCTGTGTAGCTTTGTAGAACAGGCTGGCCTGGAACTCACAAAGATCCTCCTGCCTCTGCCTTCCGTGTGCCACCACCACCAGGCCCAAAGCAACTTTTGATGTGTGAACAAGCTCTCCTAGAAAGAACCAGCTGACTGAGTAGAACTGGGATGTGGAATAAATTAAAAATAACAAAAACACAGTTTTCCAATCAAAGGCTAAGAGTGTTGTCAGACAGCATCAGAGGCCTGTGGCAGAGTTGTCCCAGTCTTCCTATAACCAACCTACCTGATATATCCACCAATGTATTTAAAAAGTGCCTTGATTCATGACTTTGTTCTGTTCATAAAATTGCTACCTCATTGGAACATGGGATAACTAAATGTGTGCTCCTGGGCAATGGTCACTCACATTTGGCTCCAGGATAAACTCTTTGCCTTTGAGATGAGAGCTGTTTTTGAGTAGACAGAGCTAAGCCTGCTGTTGGCAATACCTCCCATCTTGGCTCAAACCACTCCATCTTTGCAGTTTTCAGGCCTAAACAACAGATGCCACACTTTGGTGGGTCCTGGTGGTCATTACGTCTTGGCTAGATTTTAGTCACAGGCTCCAATCCTCCAGCTCTGCCCACAGGACACTCAGAACAGCCTTTCCTAAGCACCGGTGGCTCATGCTACTCACTTGCTGAAGACAAATGGCTCCTTGCTGCAGAGTAAAAGTCCTTAAAATGGCCCCATTATAATACCTGTGCGTGTTCTCTCACTATCGTGAGGATCCTCCTCGGGGATTTTATATTCCCACTTTTCTTTATCCCTCCAAGAAGGACTAGCTTTGCTCCAGGCTCTTTTTTTTTAAGTGGTCAACTTTCATTATCAAATTAAAATCTTTTCCCCTCCTGAGCACAATTCTGATTTATTTCCTGTCCAGTGTGACAAGGACAATGTCTCTCTTAAAGGACAAGGAAGTCTGCTTGTTATCCACATAAAGCATTCAGGCTACCCGAATTTGGGGTTACTCAGCTATGGCAAAACTCCACTGGCCTCTTGTGTCTCTCTGGCAAACTTTCTAACTCTGGAGTATCTTACATTCTGCCAGAATCCATGCTCACAGCAGGCTGAAGTCCCTAGCTAACAAGCAGCCTTTCTGCTTACTTCCCACCTAACTACTAAGCTCCCCATTCCCTCCAGACCAGTTACGCATCTGTTCATGACTCTAGAACACGTAAGGTGCAGTGTTTGTTAAAGCCTTCCATTTCGCGTAGGCCTGAAATATGCTCCCTGAGATCTCTGTTAGCTGTTCTCCCGACCAAGTGTGCTTTCTAGTTTTACCCTTCAGGGAGCAGATCATTCACAATCATTCACTCCTTAACCTTCCCAGTTCCCTTTATTAACTCTATTTTTTTCTATTTCAATTAACAACTTCTACAGAAGGCAGGTCAATTAAATGCCTTTAAAGAACCAGATAATAAACATTTTAAGTTCTAAGGCCTTAAGGTCCCTGCTACCATGGTTTCATTGTAGTGGGAGAATGGTAATAGATAATACGCTAGTAAGTGGTGATGGCCATGTTCTAATAATACAACTTAAACAAACAAACAAACTGGCAGCCTGCCTGAGGATTATACATGATCAGTCCCTGTTAGAAAAATCTTCTCAGCTTCTCATTCTACTGGCCAACAAGCTCCATAAAAGGAGCAATCTTGTTTTATCGATGGCCCTAGCTGGCCTGGAACTATGGAACAGAGATCTGCCAAGAACTAATGTGTTTGCAGATTTGTTGTCTACACACACACACACACACACACACACACACACGCACACACACACACACACACACACACACACACTCCAGTGCCAAATTTGAGTGACCAAGATCTAGGAATACATAGTTAGGTCTCCCAAAATTCCAAAGGACATGTTAGGATGGCCAAAGAAAGATGACAAGGCACAATCAACCTACTCACCACCCTCATTTCCTAATTTCCTGAGCCCACGTCTAGACTGCACTTCTCCATCTCTTCTGATAGCAGATGAGACAAAAGACTATATCCTAGAGAGGGGAGCTGGCTTGTGGTGCAGAAAAAAGGACTTGATGTTAGACTAGTCCTCTGTGTTTCTTGCATGTCCCTTGATGGTCCTTAACACTGGAGTAGGAGAGTCATTCCTATTTTACATTAGATTCGGGTGGAGTTTGGCATGGTTAAATGGTTTGATAGGGAAATACATGCAATGATCTAGGTCTAATCTAAATACATACCTGCTTTTCAGAGACGAGCACTCTGTCCACTCTGCTACGGCTGACGCTTCAACTGGACTTTCAGCAGCTAGCTTAAATCCCAGGGCTACTTAGAAGATTATACAAAGATGAAAGAGACAGCCAAACCCTCCCTCTCTCGGGGCAAATGATCTATCCCATTTTTTCCTTCATGCCCAGGGCTCAGCCAAGAACATGGCTTTAAAAAGAGCCTTCACACCTGTCTATAAGGTTGGCAGAAGAAAAAAGGAAGTCTCACCAAGAAACAAAAAGTCAAGCCTATACCACATGGCAATTAAGGGCCAGCCAAACGGATGTTAATTCCATCTTTCACTTGTAGACCAACCAGAGCAAGACAGTAATTCCATCAAGTGTCATTTATTTAAATAACAAAGCAATTGCACATTGTAGGTAACCTGGTTATAGCAATATGAAAATATAGAATTCTGAAAACAACCTGGCAACTTAAATATGTATTTGATAACACAGAGTCTCCTAGAAGGTACAAAGGAGGGGAAAGGAAACACTGATTTTCAAATTGATCTATTTGCACTTAAAAATACAATTTCTAATATGACATCTGTTTTCAAAACTGTCTAAATTGTAAAAATAGAAACAGGAACTGTTGTCTTCATGTTGAAAATTTAAATCTTCAACTACATTCACTACACATCACAGATGATACCATTAACACAAAATCAGCATACGAAGTCATGGGAACACAAGAAAACTACAGTTCACACTTTCCTTAATCCTTCTTGACTAAATGGTCTCTTTCCCTCCCTTGGAACTGAACCTAACCCACTGATTAGATGGATATTAATAACACATTCACTTTACAAAGAGTCCTAACCTCTTCAAGTTCTACAGTGGTTTTCCTCTGTAAGACTGACTGCTGAGAATGAACTGCATAAGACCATGCTCAAATAACCATGAGGAAAGGAGGCCGACACAAGACACCACCAAGTCTGACCAGCACAACACTGAATCCTAAGTACAGATGGGAGCCCAACTGGTTCAACTGGAAACTCCAAATTGGCTTACAGTTGCCTTCATTTTGCTTAATCCAAAAATAAGTGAAAAGCAAATGTTACCATAAAGGCCTCTTACAAGCCAGAGAGAAGACAGGCTTATTTTTTGTGTTTTTGAGGCAAAAAAAAAAAAAAATCTCAAAAGACAAACATCCATAAAGTAAACTTGCTTTGGAAATAAGTTGTATAATAAAATAATACATCTCAATTATTAAATATATATATGCCTTTGTATATAACTTGCATCAAAAATTAAGTATTCTATGAACATCTGCAATAAATATTTTAAAATAGTAATCTATAAAGACACAGTTAATATTCATTCAGGTGTTCAGATACTAACAGTCAGCAAAAAGAAAAATGATGAAAGAAATAAGCACTCAGCCCTAGAATCCCCATGACACAGTGACTGAGTGCAGCACACTGTTAACTGCTAAGTGCCTTCCTATATAGCACATGTCTGTCTCTGTAAACCTTGGGTAATCTGGACCCAACAGTGCTATTTTCTTACATCATTAAATAGAACCACAAGCCTGAGATTTAAAGTGTTTACCACAATCTCTCTCTTCATGTAAATTACTTCCTTAAACATAAATCACCTGGGCTGGGTGCTCGGTGGTCCAGTGCTTACTTAGCAGAGTGTCAGGACCCTTGGTTTATGCCCTGGGACAGGCTTGGGCAAGGAGAGAGCCATATGGAAAGCATGTATCTGTCTACTGTAGGGAAGAAAAAAAAAAACACTTCAGGAAATCAGGGAATTTGTGAAGACTTATTTATACTCATTTACTATCTCCAAAATTGCAGCCTGCGCATTCTACTCTATTAAAGGCAAGACTGTAGTTAAAAGCCTGTATAATTCCTCAAGCAGAAGCTCAAAGTGATGCAATTCCTTCAAAAATAAATGCAAGTAATATTCTGTTCCACTGAAAACAATTTCTATCTTCTTTTGGTATCCAAACAAATAAGACCTTTAATTCAGTCCTAAAGGGAAAAAAAAGTTAAGGTGCAATAAAAAAGTTAAAGCGTGCCCAATGTAATATGCACATGTCCCAAGTTTATCCTTTAGTTATACAGTCTAAGAACTACTGAGTTAAGCCGGGCGTTGGTGGCGCATGCCTTTAATCCCAGCACTTGGGAGGCAGAGGCAGGTGGATCTCTGTGAGTTCGAGGCCAGCCTGGTCTACAAGAGTTAGTTCCAGAACAGCCTCCAAAGCCACAGAGAAACCCTGTCTCGAAAAACCAAAAAAAAAAAAAAGAGAACTACTGAGTTAACATACAAGGTGCACTATGTGCTTACTGTCAGTAAGTCTGTTACTACTGTTCCTTGATTTTTCCTATTCGATATTCAATTGGAGTACTTACAAGACATATACCAGCCCATGGGGTTCCATTTCTAGCACCACAAAAATAATCAAATAAAGCAAAATAAAATTCAAGCTGCAGGCATGTACAGAAGTCTTTATTATTTAAACACAGTGAGACATCCGCTTTGATTTTTGCACACCGTTATGTTGCAGTGTAACTGTGGTGAACACGTTACTGTGTACTGCACACAGGGGGGCACGGGGCTTAGTCTTCTTACTCTATATATCCTCTGAATGGTTCAGGCTGAGAACCTGCTCAGCCATCTCAATACACACATAGTTCCTCTGTCACTTCTTCCTGAAGTAATGAAGTAAATGCACTGGAATGGACTTAAATGTGTCCCCACATATGAAAGTCTGTCCAGATCAGATGTAGCCACTCAACACAAACTCCAACTTCCTTGATGAGAGTCTGATGGGCCCTTTACATTTCAAGTTCAACATGCTAAAATAATGAAAGCTAACAGCAAATATACAATAGACCAAAATATGAACTAGGGAGGCAGGATTCTAGAAATCTACTACATACAGAAAAATATGCAAATAATTGGGCTGTGGGAGAGCAATTTGGAAAAACCCTTCCACTCTTCCAGGGGCATGAGGGATTAGCCAACACAGACTGTTTTATATTACTTATCTATAGACCAGTCTATTGATACATTAGATCTATCACTGTATCTAATTGACAGGTGCTTAAGAGATTAAAATTTACATTTTTGCATGTCATAATGTACACACACTCAAAATAGTCGTAATAGGCAACTGGAAGGCATAATATATTTAAATTTAGATAAACCATCTTCCATTTTATTCCTTAAGTGGATAAATTGTGCCTAACAATCTTTAAGTAGTATATTGGACTAGTTATGAGGGTCAATGTTAGCATGTTGATAATGTAAAAGTACCACAAAGGGTTCACTAAATTTTTCAGAAATTATTCTACTCCTGAAATCGACCTAACTATTGTGACATGCAAAGATAGTTTATAAAATAAGGCTAAGCTAGCAATCTTAGGAGTAAGGACTTTTAGATGGGCACACAGGAGTTCACAGAGGCCTGAGGTGGGGGAGGCCAATGTCCATCTGCCAAACACACAGGAAGGACGAGAGCTTACGGGCACTTAAACCGCTGGGAGATGCTGGAAACAAGATGCTGTGACAGATGAGAAATGGGCAGTCACAGCAGGCAGCACGCAAATGCCACACTGCCAGGGGCAGGAATCCAGGAAGCCTCCGAGAACGGCTGCAGGCAAGAAAGAAGCTCCCACCGCCCATGCCCGTGCTTGCTTCAAGTGCAGCAGCCACAGCTGACAAGTGGCTGGTACACCTGACAGAGGAGGGCAGAAGAAGAATACATTCAAAGGGTGAAAAGGACAAAACAAGTTTCTAAGATCCTGATGAATTACAAACGTTTAGGACTTCAATTGGCCGGAAACTGCATTAACTAAACTCAACTAAATGCACCAGAATCGGAGACCCAGGAATACAGGGAATACAAAAAAGGGTTAGAAAGAAACAGGAAAAATGAAGTGTCTAGAGAATTAACCAGAATAATTCCAGAATTGATTTTTCCACTTGGTCCTAAGGACTATTTTTAAATTACTCTTATTTTCCAGGGAATGGGGCAATCTCGAGAAGACCAACAGACTTCACGGGGATGGAGGAAATACACAATCATGACGTGCCCATCACGACAGAGTGACTGACAGAAGAACACGCACTTCTCGTTCACTTTTTACCCTTCCACACCACAGGCTTTAAGCCCTGGTCAAAAAACTGTAGAATGACCTGACCTCCAACTCAATTAACCCAGGCACTCAGATCAGGGAGGAAAGACAGGCACCCAGGACTCTAAACTCACCCCTCTCCAAGGAGCTGATTCGACTGTTAGATTGCTCTAATGGCTAGAGATTGCCCTTTACACCTAGGAATCTAGAATTATCTCCCTGTAGCTCTTACCCGCTGTCTTCTCCTAGATGCAAAGCCCCTGTCTGTTCTGTAACTTGGGAATGTGTCTCAGACACAGGAAGAGCAAGTGTTCAAGTATACACAGGAGCTGGTGTGGTCAATCCTCCAGGCTCTCCTCCTCGCCAAAGCTCTGAAACATGACCTTTATGTCTACAAAGCACCAATCCAGACACTGACTCACTATGTACAAATACACAGAGGCCATTTTTCTATATAAACTGTCATTAGACACACTGGAAACCTAACCCACTACCTGTACCTCTCAAAAAGACAATTAGATAAAATGTTGTCTCTTGGGCACTTACTCTCCACAAAAATCCTAAATCACAAGACAGATTTTAAAAGATGACCCTTACAAACATGCTAAGAAATTGGTGCTGGTACAGTATCTTGAACACGACAGGAAATACATAAGATGTCTGCGGCATTAATTCTATTGCAGCATTTATAAAGCCACTAGATAGATGGTCCACACTGCTAACTGCCAAAAAGTATGTGAATAATAAAAACAAGAAAACCACAAAACAAAAACTGACACAAGTGAACTTGTTTGACAATGTAAAAGTCATCATTTAAAAATGATTATCTACTTATGTGTATGTGTGTTTCTTCTTTGTGGGCATACGCCACGCTTGTTCAGGTGGCTATGGAGGCCAGCAGGGTCTTCTGAAGTTACACAGTTGAGAACTGCCTGCCATGGGTGCAGAGAAAAAAGCTCTGGTCCTCTAGAAAAGCAGGAAGCGCTCTTCACTACTGAGCCATCGCTCCAGCCCCTAAAATGTCATTTTTAAGCTTAATTTTTCTCATTTTATACCAGAATGGGAATTTGTTACAGACCATAAGCTCTGACAGTTCTCACAAAATATGGGTATATATTCTTTTTGTTTGTTTTCTTTTTGAAGACATGGTTTAACTATATAGCTCTGGCTGGCCTGAAACTCACTATGTAGACCAAGCTGGTCTCAAACTCAGAGATCTACCTACCCTTGCCTTCCAAATGCTGGGATTAAATAACTGAATGTGCTACCACACCCATCTATATACTTTAATAATATGACTATATGGTTTTAAGATAATGTTATCAAGGCTCTTCTAAAAAATTTATAAACTTAGCCGGGCGTTGGTGGCGCACGCCTTAAATCCCAGCACTTGGGAGGCAGAGGCAGGCGGATCTCTGTGAGTTCGAGACCAGCCTGGAATACCAAGTGAGTTCCAGGACAGCCTCCAAAGCCACAGAGAAACCCTGTCTCGAAAAAAAAACAACAAAAAAAATTTATAAACTTTTCTTCAAAGTTTTATATATAATTATTGAATATATTTCTACAGTATCATGACAATGTATTTCCCCTTCCATCTGTAGCTAGCTGTATAATTCATATTAATGTAACATAATGATATCTGCCCCCATATTATTTGAAGGGATCGTCTTCTGACTCAAAGTGTACCTATCACCTTCTTCAATAAATGTTTCCTGAATGTTGATCAAGAAGTGGTACCTTAAGTAACACAATACCAATGCCTGCTGAGCATGGGAACTGCAGTAAGGGGCAGAGGAACAACTCCATGATTTGAGCTACTGTCGGTGCTAAATGCATGAACTGAAGTTTCTGAATGCCCACATTCATTTCATTTTACAGCAGAGACAAAAGATGCAGCTGATACTTTTTTATAGGTACTGTAATCCATGCAAAGAGCTGTAATTATCAGACTCACACATATGTATATGGCCTCCCCAGGGTACAGAAAGCTACCAAATGTACCATCCAATGTTAGAGCGCAGAGTGCTACCTTGCTATTCCCACTGGAAAACCCAAGTCCTAGAAAGGGCAAGTTATTTGTTTTGTGTTGTTAACTATTCATCAACAGAGAGGGACTCCCAACTACAAAACCTGGGCTCTGCCTGGGAATGGTGTACCTAGACAAGTAAACTAGTCAAAAACCCAGATTCATGGACTCCTGAGCTGTTTTTCCTTACTAGATGGAATCTGGCCTTTAGCTGTAATACCTGCTATAGGCAGTGGATTGGGAGGAGAGGGAGGAGGATTGAAATAAAATACTACAAAACATTCTAAATGGGAAGGGTGTAGATTAAATGCTAAACTTTGTTGAAAATACCTAATACACAACAGATTCACGGTTCTAAAACTCAAAGAGACCGTTAATGTCACCTGTTCTTTTTCTAGTACACAAATGAGGAAGACACAGTGATTGACAGATACGGGAACTCCAGAAAGGTCATCTGCTCACCAGTAGCAGAGTCTGGCGTGTCCAACTCCATGCTCTGGTTCTGGTTCCTACTCATAGAGAACCAAAGCACAGCACAGATGTCAAAAAACAAAAACAAAAACAACAAACATTAGCGCTGGGCCAGCCACATTCTAAATGTAAAAATTACTGATATTTTACATACCACTTAAAACAGGGACTTTTCCTTCCTATAAGAAAAGCAGTGATAGTCTATATTTCAGGCTCAGCACTAAGATTAGAGAGTTCTAAAATACAGCTTTTTCTTTCCCACAGCTATATAAGAAATGTGTCTGTATGATTGAATGCTATTACTGAATCAGATATGAGTACATTCAAATACAGGACTGTTTCTGAAAAACATCACCATTTCAACCACTGAGACAGTGGAAACCCGAGAGCTGGCAACTGCATCATCTTGTAGAGATGCAGGTCCTTCGGTTTAATAATACTTCACCCCTCGGGCCCTCTGCTTCTCTCTTCCAAGCTCCAGAAACCCACTGCTATACTATTTCAGATGTGATATTTATTTCCACTCTGAGATTTAAATACTAAGCAATAAAATATTTCTGAAGTTTAAAGGACAAGCCAATCTAAAAATGGCTTAGCTTACAAAGCCATTTGCTACTTGAACAATATTAATTTTCACATTAAAAAAATAAATAATCTAACTAGACTTTATTGTACCTGTCAGTCTTTTAAAAGACTTCACCCCTCAATTGAAATCTAATGTAAAATGCCTTTTAAAGGTAGAGTATAAGAATTTCTATACAATATTGAATGCCATTCCATAGGGGAAAATATGCAGTCACTCAGGAGACAGGAAGTGCCTGACAATAGTCCCTTATGCTTCCACCTTGGCCAGGACTGATCTCCACAGCAAGAGTCCATGTTATCTGGGGGGTTCCATCCTGTGCATGCCGATCAGTCTGAGGATGGCTTTTTCCAGAGATGAAGGGCTGCTTGAATTCTGAAGTGTAGTCTAGACTCCAAGGAGTAATCTTTGTAGTTGCTTCTGAAGACAATGAAGAAAAAAATTGTACAGTCAGCATTTCTCTGTCTAGCAGGGCACCACCACCCCTCCTCTGCACCCTCTCTCTTCTGGGTTTCCAGAGGCTTCCCCTGTGGTGATTTACAAAGCCATGCTTTGATTTGCAGCATTCTAATTACCAAACCACAACTATAGCAAGGTCATAAGGGCATGGCATTATTTTGTTAACTACAGCTAAATGGTTCAACTTCTATTTTTAGAGGAAAATGTTAAGTTACCGTCAATACTCACCTTGCAGTTTCTAGGGCCTTTATGGCCTTGTCAATTTCTCCTTGGCTTTTATACAAAAATGCCAACTCAAACAGAGTGAATGGCACCAGATAGTGGTCATACTTCAGTAGTTTTTCACTAAATGGACAAATGAAAATCAATTAAGTCTTAACAAAACAGGAAGTATTATTTGAAACAGGTATCATTCTTCATTTCCCAGACAACATTAGGACTATCACCAGAGGAAGGCTGCTGTCCCACAGATATGGTCCTTAGCAACCTACAGAACGGAGTATACTTCTATACACTAATCTTCTGCCCACTCCCATACACTAATCTGTTCCTTAAAGTACGGCCACCACCAATGTGGCATCGCCTCTCAAGCAGATCTATACACACAGACCTCCAATATGAACCTAGAGAGGACAAGATCACCTTCATGAGCAAGCGACTCTAAATTTAGTAATAAAAAAGGCTCATTAGTTTTGCATTTAACAAAGCATCAATTTCCTTCATACATAATCTTAGAATTCTTCAAACCGTCAATGACTATGTGGCTGGCGGTCCGGTTTCAGCATCATTGTGAAACCTAGAAGTTCAGGGAAAAGCCTGAGAACAAACAGCCTTTTAAATCTAGAGAAAATTGTGTCTCTAGTGATAACTGCAATGGAATTTTCATTCTTGGTGTTGGATAAGTACAGAAAATTATATTGGCTATTAAAAGCATAACATCTAATAGCTTCTATTTGGAATGGCTATTCTGACTGCTCACTGATTTGTATAGTTTTTGCCAGGTTAACTTTAGTGTGTGATTTTTATTTTTGTTACTTTTTAAAATAAATTTGTAATTTAAATAAATTTGGAACTTTTTAAGTTAAAATAAATTAAACACAATGACAATAATCCACAGCTCAGTTTACTAGGCTATCACCCAAACTTCTCAGATGCCAAGGAGAAGCAAGAGCAAGACTAGCTGTGTTGATGAGCCCTGGGGTCTGCAGAGAGACCTGAGACTTTGAGTCTCAGTGGTCATGCAGGCCATGAGGCCCTAGACACAGAAAGCAGGTGCTGGAGCTGACACCGTAAACTTGGAAGGTAGAGTCTGGGCTTTGGAGGAAGCACATTGGAAAAAATCCCACTCATTGGCAAGGAACAAGACAGATGATAGCCGCCTTTTGCCTGCACTTTTGACATGAAGAAAAAACAAAGCACATCTCTTTGAAACTTAACAACAAATAGGCCAACCCTCCCAGAAATTTGCAATTCAAATTTACATTGCTCAAGAAATCTAAAAACTGTTATACATGACATTAACATGACAGTGGCCTCTAAGTAGTGTGGGAAAACTTCCACAGCAAGCAGCACATAGGGTCACATTTGTCACCGGCCCTTGAACCTTATAAAAACACCAATAAACACACGCATAGTTCTTTAGTATGTTCACCAAATACATTAACCTGCCTTCTTTGGGAACTAGATACTGTGTCCTATATTCTCATAAATACTGTCGTGAGGAAGGACACTGTATGGCCTCCATCTTTATGGTTTGCAGTGTTTTCAAAAACACTGAGCCAAAGTTTGTTTAAAAATCAGGAGATTTGACATTGATGCAGCTTCCAGCTTCTTATGACAATGTTACTTCTTATGACCACTGTTACTGGGCCCACATTGTGCAAAGTGAACAGTTCCAGCCCTTAGAGAGAACACAGTGGCCACCAGTTCATCCAGAGGCATCCACCCTTGCTCCAATTCGCATCAGGCAGCACTATCATTGCTATAAAAAAGATCACCATACGTACAAGAAATGGTTCATCTTTAAACACTGAGTAGAAATATATACAGCCAAATCCCATGCAAACTGTAGCTTTGTTTGTGATACAGTAGCTTTGTTTGTGATACAGGCTTGGCATATCACTTTGTCCCAGAGATTTCCCTGAAGCCACAACTTGAACCCAAGCCAGCTCTTACCTTTCTATAATGTGGTTGAAACACAGCTCAGCTTGCAGGGGCCGCTGTAAATTCTTGAGGCAGCATCCTTTCAGTAATTTCACCAAGCACTCATCATCCACAGAGTCACCAAAGTCTTAAAACAACAAGAAGCCAACACAAGTGGAAATGTCATTGATTTTTGTGGTGCCTGGGATGAGTGCGCTGCCAAGCCAGTGGGAAAGCACTTTCCAATACCCTAACTGAGGGGAAAGCTAGCCGGTGTGGGGCTTTAGGGGACCATTTAAAAACACGTTTACTAACCTGCCATATAAAGCACGATGAAAACACTCCCTGAACTTACTCATTCTACACCATTCATTAAGGGAGACGTCACAGGCAGGTTTTTCAGGTGGCCACAGTGAATTCTGCTACCTTAGCTACAACAGGAAATCTGAACTCTAAATAAAGAATGAGCTTCATTAATTCTCTTGGAGGTAAAGAGGAGGAACCAGGCTGTCTCCTCCTGTTGTTTTGGCATCTAACCATGCTGGCGTCCATGCAGAGGAGGATAGCATTTCCATATGGAGAAGCAGATGGCTTCCCACCCGTTCAAAATGCAGGAAGCAGAAACCCCTCTTCCAGATCATTATGTTTACAACCTATCGATTCTCCCAGGTTATGTTCTTTTGGGGGAAAATTATGCCGTGAAAAGGTTCTTAAATACAGGAAAGGCACCTAGAGTCACCACAAACTTCCATGCTCCAGGAGAATGTCCAGGATGTCCTTTCCCTGCTCGGGCCCCGGCCCCTCCTGCTCAGTCTGGGTATGTATTAAGCAGAGTGAAGCACATGGTGTAGCGGCTATCTGTCAAAGGTAGCCATACCACGTGTTACGATCCTGAAGGCTTTTCTGTTTTTCTCTTTTGAAAGTGACAGGCAAAGAAGTCATTCCAAGACAGACTGCTAATTTACACGTTTCAGGCTGTGACAACAGTGTGGAGGGGTGGTAAAGGAAATGACTGGATCCTAGAAGTTTCCATACTGCAAGTCTCATGCTTTGGGTTCAAGCCTCAGACCTCATCAGTGACACATGCTGGTGTTTCAGTTGGTAAGCCCTCACCTATGGAAGGTTAACAGTGCTACTCACCCAACTAGAAGGGGCTCACTTCACTTCTAAGTGTTTAAACGTACGAGGCTCACCGCTAACTGTCAAGTGCTGATATGTCCTGGACCACCACTAGGAAAAGCACAGATACCAACATCTCTAACCTTTCTTCCCACTGCTAACCCATGCTTCCATCAGAGATGTCTGCTGAGAAGCAGGTCAATCAGGCCCAAGCCCAAATCAGGTCCACACTGGCCGCTACTTTTCAGTCTCAATTGTGTATATGCTATTGAATTCTGAGAAGCAGTTTTCTAACAGTTTGTGTTATGACAACATCTGCTTGCTCAGTGAATGATGATTTTTGAGACAACTACCATTGAAAACCTAGTAAAGTCGCTCTGTGGAGATCTGAAGTTAGCAATGTGATAGAGAGGTTCATACCCACATCTCCCACAAACCTCAGAAGCAAAAGCACAGTTTCCTCTGACCACAGCACACTGTCATATGACCAATCCCTGTCATGACTTGCACTCTCATGAAAGAGGAAGAGTTGAACAGTTTCCATTGGGAAGAAGAAAATCACTGTGGGTGAAGGCACTTGCCAGTAACCCTGGCCCCCTGAGCTGGAGCCCAAGAACCCGTATGGTGGAAGGACAATACCAGTACCCACAAAATGTACACATACACAGAGAAAAATGATGATTGACAAGTTTTTGCTTTTGTTTTTTATCACGATAACAATGCCCATGCTCGTGCAGCACAGCAAGGCACCGAATATCCTAAATGTGGGCAGGCTAAGAAAGAAGTCAGTTTGAAAACTACAAAACATCTGCGCTGAGCATTATAGAAACTCGCTGCAGTGCACCAAGCGGGAAACATGAAAGCTGACTGAAACATGAAAATCCCAAATCCGCCAGGCAGCCCTACCTTCTTCCTCCATGTGACCGACTGCACTCGCTGTATAATGTCGCCATACAAGTGAACTAAAATGACAGACAAAGTGGACCCACTGCCCACTTCTGGCTACACGATGGATCAGGTCAACCTTCCGAGGAAAACAGCACAGAAACTGCCACCACATGCCAACTCTAAGCATGTGACCAAGGGCTCTTGCGTCTGGCCGTGCCCTCTGTGTGGATGGCCAGCCTTTACTCACTATGACCAGGCACTGCGATAGGTCAATAGTACCCTCTACCCTCTGCTCCTCAACCACAACTGACAAGTCGAAAACCAGAACCACATTTGCTATGGTATCTAACAATGGCCTGGGGATAGAGGGGTAGAAGCCCCCACAAGCTCAGGCTTAGAACTTCTCTCCATTTCCCAATCGGATTCCCCACCTCTTACTCTGAAGAACAGACGCTTAATTACTAAGAGTCGGGAGTTTAGGGGTGGGGAAGATACAGAAGTATAAACTTGGTTCGCAGTAAGGTAGAGGTGACCCTGTGACCATAAACCGATTCTTTTACCCAGAGGAAAACGCAGGGCAGGACTCAGCTCATTCTCTAGAACTCACACAGGCCTCTCATCTGAAGATGTCATAGAAACACAAACAGGAACGGCAGTGATTTTGGTTTCTAAGCACTTCGAGTGCATGAGCATACGAAGCAAACACTACTCCTTTCATACTTTTTCTCCTGTCAATAGAGGGCAAAAATCATCTGAGGGTAAAGAGTCTGTTCAGCAAAAATTCCAATAGTCATTTGCAAACTCAGGACCCTTGACTGACAAAGGCTCCATTCTTGGGAGCTGAGGCGATACAGAAGCACATGACAGACAGGCGTGGAAGTTTATCCTGAGTCAGCCCACCTGTGCAGAGGGAGGCAGGGGAATACAGAGGAAGAGAGATGGCTATTTTTCAGGGTGGGGGGCAGGGATCCTACAACTGTTCTCACATAAACATTCATTCATCCATTTAATTTGTAGATATTTGGACTTTAAACAAGAAAATTCCTATAAAGGCAAGATCTATCGTTAGTTAAATTCATTGAACAAAAATGAGCACTACAAAATTTTGAATCCCGAGAAGTCCATCTCATGAAATCTCATTTTAAAAAGTACTGGTGTTTATTTTATATGTATGACTATTTTGCCTGCATGTAATGTGTACCACTCACAAGCCCACCTGGTGCTCATGGATGCCAGAAGATGGAGTCAGGTCCCCTGAAAATGGTGGTAAAACACGTTGAGATCTGACTATATATCCCAAGCCCGTGTTGAGAGATAAGAACTTTAAAGGTAGTGTCCATGTGATGCCCTCTGCCAGGCTACAGGGCAGCAATACAAAGGTCTCCATCGACTGTAGCACTTTGATCCTGTACCCCCTAGTCTGCAGACCTGTGGAAAACACACTTCTTTTTCTTCATTAGTTACCCAGCCTATGGTATTCTGTTATAGCAGCAGAAAAAGACTAAGAAAAGCAGTTCCTTAAAAATAATGCTAACTGATCCATCTTTAAACTGGCCCAAAATGGCTATTCCATAAAGGTAGAATCATATCTTGCATGGTCTTTTGTGGCTGACACCATTCATTGGTGTATCAAGAGGCACCTTCCTCCCTTAGATGACGGGCAGATGTGTACCAGGGAGAGGGCAGGGAGGAAACGGAGCCGAGACAGGGTCTCCACACTTACTCTGAGTTTGCAAAGCTGCCTCAGCCTTCTCCACAGTCACCAAGAGGTTTTCTGAAAGGTCTTTTCTTTTGGCCACTATTGAAAAGCCATTCCAGACGTACATCATTTCCTAAGATGGGAGAAGAGAAAACCGTATGTGAGGTGTCTGCTAAGACCTCAACATGACAGGCAGGATCTCGTTCCAACCTTTCTTCAGTTGGAATTTAGTGACATGATTTTCATGGGTTTACTAGATGCCTGTTGTCTTCCATGCTCTGAGGTAAGTAAGCATGTATCTTATACTCTTACTAAAATCATCAATTCATTCATTCAACAAATACACACTATCTATTAATATACAATCCTTTGGATAGAATATACAGAAGTAAAACAATATTTTAAACTGACACTATGAACAATTTTGTTTAATGTAAATTTTTGTTGTTACTTTTAAGTAAAGGGAAATATTTTAAAATGTCTGCTAGCTGTTTACATAAAGTGTTTCCAAGCATATCACTAGAAATGATCATTGGAATATTTATTTTACTGGGCTCAGGTTCTTTTATATCATTAAAAACATGTGTCGGCCCAGTAATATGATCCAATATTCAGAAAACACGTTTGTTTAAAGGCCATATGGCTGAATGACAGCTCCTGAAATGTAAACTAATGATTTCTCATTGCAGATTATATTTAATGGTGAACAGATGAGAAAAAAATTTTTTGGATCAAAAGCAAATGTGTTTTTACTTGAAAATATTTTTCTAATGTCCAGATAGTGCAGTTCATATTTTGAAGGGTATATGGCGAGCATGAATTTTAAAATACGACAGATACTGCTTGAGAACCCTTCTAGCCAGAGAAGCATGGAAATGAGGCAGCAATGATGGAATCAGGTTTGCTTTATGGCACTGGAAACTAGGAGCACCATTCAGAAATGACATTTTAAACCAATAATTTAAAATTTTTAATGGATATAGTATTTAGCAAAAGGAGAGGCAAGCTTGGTTTGAAATTTTTAGGAAAAACAAGCTGTGCCAACACCCTTAGGTATGACCGAGTCTAGTCAATTCTTTGTCACCGTAAACCCACCAACCTTCAGGGGTTCAAAGCATAACAAGCCGTTATACACACCAGTATCTAAGCACTGATATAGACAAACATAACGGTCCAGTAAAGTCTCTGGAAAGTTCCTTCCCAATGCAAACCACTTGATGTCAATGAATGTGGAACAGGGCTAAAGCTAATTAAGGCAACAACAGGCATCAACGGGAGAGGGTGTTTACGGTCTAGTCTTGATGTTCTGTGGGAAACACCTGGATCTAGGTGCTACCTGTAAGCTAGCTCCTGTCTGACCCCATCAGGGGCTATATTCTTATTCCACTTAAAATACACGAAAAACTTCTAAGAGTCAGCAACAAAACAAAAAGAATCCAATAAAACTGAAGAAGGATTACAGATATGAGCCACCATGACCAGATTAAACAAACTATATTCTTGACAAATTATTCCTTAAAGGTTTCCTTCTACTTTTTTATATAGCTATTAGAAAATGTAAAACTGAATTTGTGGTTTGTTTTGTAATTCAATTCCACTGTAGTGAAGTCATCTTCCCCCTTCAGGCTCAAACTTCCTTATCTGAAGCATAGAACTAAGACTATACTTAACTTTATGTTAAAAATCAAATGACATGATTTTTTAAAATTTGCCTTTATCACAATGTCTAGAATATACTAACTAATCAAAAAGCCTCAGGTAAAATTATTAATGTTTTTAAAAGCAATTTATGTATAAATATAAAAATATACAATAGTTCTTAACTGAGCTATAAGCATCACAACCAAAGGTAAATGCATTTCTTGATGCTCTCAATAGTGTATTTATCTCTAGTATGAAAACAGTGAATAAAAGCAGATACCAGGGCTGGCAAGACGAGCTTCCCCGGGGCACCTGAGGATGGTGAGTACCGACGCGCCTTCCTCACAGCGAACTTCTCGGTTGGGAGAGATTTTCCTGCGATCCTCTGCTTCAAGCCATCTACCTGTCTGTGAAGATCCCATGGAAAGGCCAGTGAGCCTACATATTATTTACAACTGAGGTTTTCGTACCCATATCCAAGGTCAGTATCATCCGGGAACCTGTTCCAATTGCACACTATTGGGCACTACCCTAAACCTGAATCAGCAGTTCTAAGGCTGGGACCAACAATCTCAATTACATATATACAATATATATGGACAACTCCCTAAGAGCCACTAATTCACGTATTTCCTTCTAGTCAGCTTAGCTAGTGTCTTACAGCTGTCATAGTCCAGTGTAGGTATAAAATTGTCAGTTTCCATAAATAAGCAGAGTAGAGAAGGGAAGCATGTAAATTAGTACTTTTCCTGTTCCTCTCTGGAGATATTGCACAGATGTACATCATAATGCAAATTTGAGAAAGCCAACCAGACATAGGTAATTTTCTAAATAATCATTTTAGGATTTAGCATTTTCAAACTTCTAAGGAATTTGAACTGGGTGGTGACTCAAGAATGCTGATTGGGCAAGCATGAAGAACTGAGTGCAAATCCCCAGAACCCAGGTTGGCTCGTGCTCGTGCCTGTGACTCAGTGAGATGGGAAGGCGGAGACAGGAAACAGGAGGGTCACTGGGATTTGGTGGCCAACAGCTTGGCTCCAGATTTGGTGAGACCCTGTCTTAAAGGGAATAAGGCAGAAAGTGGTAGACTGGAATTCCTACATGTCTGGGTATGTACACACACTTCTACACATGATGCATACACACACACACACACACAATCTAAGTGAGTTGGAATTTCTAATGTCCTCTGTCCTCTGCACATGTCTGGACATGCACACACATTCCTATACATGATGCATACACACACACATACACACACAATCTAAACACATGAATATGAAATGAAGATGGAGAGAGACTACAAGTTCATGGGGAAAGACTGCATTGTTTGTGGGGCGTCTTTCTTATGCGTAATTTTATGAATGTATAAACAAGGGAAAGGATTCAAGAAAATATCTGATTACATCACTGAAAGAATCAAACGAGGAGGAAAAGAGCCCCAGTGTGAAAGAGCAGGTGCAAAGTCTAGTAGTTAAACCCTTATTCTAGAAAATAAGTGTAATGGTATGTTTTCATGATTCCCTGACATGCACACACATCTGAAAACGATGCTAAGGAATGACATGCTGATTTTCAGTTAAACGTATTATTCTAAGTGTCCACACCAGTGAGCAGAGAAATTAGAAACTACGGAAGTAGAGTGTGAGGGGGGAAAGCCCTATGTGTCTAACACCCCCAGAGCCCCTGTGACAGAAACAGTGCCATGCTCACCTGAACAGAGCCACCACATTCTCATTAGTTGCTGCCACATCCTCCTCTGGAAGCATGCTCAAAATGGCAGCTTTCAAGAACACATACGTCGCCTAGAGGAAACAAAGCCAAGGGCTTACCATACAACACGACATTTTAACCTTGCAGACCGAATGACCTCGAAACCTTCCATGCATCACGTTAAAAGGTATCAAGGTTAACTGCGTGTTTCAGTGGGGTCCCAGAACTAAGAAGGGTCGGTGAATACGGGGCCCCACCCCTAACTAAGAAACCATGTGCAACTGATACCTGCTTGGAAAGGGAACATCAGTTTTCTACAGTGGAGTAAGTGACACTGACCACATTCCAGGGCAGGACATAGTACAATGCCTAGGAGTAGCTGGTCAACATAAAACAAACTCCATGTTTTGGGTTTTGCTTGCTTGGTTGGTTGTTTTGGGGACAGGGATTTTTGCTTTGTTCTAAGACCTTTGGTTTATTGATCCTTTGTGTGTTTTGATTTTCAGTTTTGTGATTTATTGGTGTTTTTTTTTTTTAAAGAAAGGGAGAGAACATAAAGTTGGGTGGGTAGGGAGGAGTTGGGGGAGGGGAAACATGATAAAAGTATATTGCATACATGAAAACTTTATGTTGAGATCTTTGATCCATTTGAACCTCTTAGAAGAAAATGTAGGTGGTACCCTCGAAGGAATTGGTACAGTAGACCACTTCCTGAACATAACACCAATAGCATAGATACTGAATTCAACAATTAATAAATGGGACCTTCTGAAACTGAGAAGCTTCTGTAAGGCAAAGAACACAGCCAACAAAACAAAACAGCAGCTCACAGAATGGGAAAAAATATTCATCAACCCCACATCTGACAAAGGGCTGATCTCCAAAATACACAAAAAACTCAAGAAGCAAGTCTCCAAAACACCAAAGGATCCAATTAAAAAGTAGGGCACAGAACTAACCAGAGAATTCTCAATAGATGAATCCAAAATGGCTGAGAGACACATAAGAAAGTCCTCTAAATTTAAATTTAAAAATAAATAATAAAAATTAAAAAATAAAATAAAATAAAGAATTAGCCGGGCGGTGGTGGCGCACGCCTTTAATCCCAGCACTCGGGAGGCAGAGGCAGGCGGATCTCTGTGAGTTCGAGGCCAGGCTGGACCGACAGCCTCCAAAACAATACAGAGAAACCCTGTCTCGTAAAAACCCAAAAAATAAAGAAAGAAAGAAAGAAAGAAAGAAAGAAAGAAAGAAAGAAAGAAAGAAAGAAAGAAAGAAAGTCCTCAATATCTTTAGCCATCAGGGAAACGCAAATCAAAGCAACTCTGAGATACCATCTCACTCCTATCAGAATGGCTAAAATCAACAACACCAATGACAGTTTATGCTGGAGAAGATGTGGAGAAAGGGGAACACTCCTCCACTCCTGGTGAGAGTGCCAACTTGTACAGCCACTTTGGAAATCAGTATGGCGGTTCCTCAGGAAAATGGGAATCAGTCTACCACAAGATCTAGCAATGCCACTCTTCAGGCACGTACCCAAAAGATGCACATTCATACAACAAGGACATCTGTTCCACTATGTTCATAGCAGTATTATTTGTAATTTCCAGAACCTGGAAGGAAACTAGATGCCCCTCAAATGAAGACTGGATAGAGAAAATGTGGTACATTTACACAATGGATTACTACTCATGGGGAAAAAAACAATGGAATCTTGAAATTCACAGGCAAATGGATGGAACTACAAGAAACCATTCTGAGTGAAGTAACCCAGTCACAAAAAGATAAAAATGGTATGTACACACTCATATATGGATTTTAGACACAAAGAAAAGGATTATCAGTCTACAATCCACACTGGCAGAGAAGCTAAGAAACAAGGAAGATCCTAGGAGAGACAGACATACATGATCCTCTGAAAAAGGGGAAAGGGACAAGATCTCCTGAGCTAACTAGGAGCATGGGAGGGGGGTTAAGAGAAAGAGAAAGGAGGAAGGAGGGGGGATGAGGACAGAAGAGAGCAGAATATTGAGTTAGGGGAAGAAGAGAGGAGAGCCAAGAAAAGAGATACCATAATAGAGGGAGCCATTATAGGTTTAAAGAGAAATCTGGCACTAGGGAAATGTCCAGAGGATCTACAAGGTTGGCCCCAACTAATAATCTAAACAATAGTCAAGAGGCTACATTAAATGCCCTTCTCTGATAATGAGATTGATGACTACCTTATATGCCATCCTAGAGCCTTCATCCAGTAGCTGATGGAAGCAGAAGTAAACACCCACAGCTAAGCACTGAGCTGAACTCTGGAATCCAGTTACAGAGAGGGAGGAGTGATGAGCAAAGGGGTCAAGACCAGGCTAGAGAAACCCACAGAAACAGCTGACCTGAACAAGGGGTTGCTCATGGACCCCAGAGTGGTAGGTGGGAAACCATCATAGGACTGTTCCAGACCCCCTGAATGAGGATGTTAGTTTGGAGGTCTGGTTAATCCATGGGGCCTCTTGTAGTGGATCAGCATTTATCCCTAGTATACAAATGGACGTTGGGAGCCCACTCCACAGAGAGGGATACTCTCTCAGCCTAGACACATGAGGGAGGGTCTAGGCCCTGCTCCAAAGGATAGGACAGGCTTTGAAGATTCCCCCATGGAAAGCCTCACCCTCCCTGGGGAGCAGAAAGGGGATGGACTAGAGGGTCAGTTGGGGGCAGGGAAGGAGAGGAGGGAACTGGGATTGGCATGTAAAAGAAGCTTGTATCTAATTTAAATTAAAAAAAAGAAAAAATAAAAATTTTAAATAAAACAAACAAACACAGGTTTCACAGGTTTCAGCTCTCTGCTCAAATGTGCTGATGAAACTGGGTCCAATGACATATCTATAACTCCTCACTTGGGAAGTGTAGGCATGAGGTTGCCACAAGTTCAAGGTCAACCTGCCATTCATAGTGAGCTCCCAGCTAGCCTTGGCAACAAAGTGAAATTCTGTCTCAAAAGACCAAAAGCAGAAACGACAGAACCATACCATCACAGGTGGGAAAGCAGGCATAACAAACAGAAGATCATGATCTCTTCCAATTCTCAAAGGGGCTCAGAATAAACCTCAACTATCACCAAAAGCTTGCTTACAGGGTACTAACAGTCTAAAAAAACCACCAAGAGTGCAATATTGATAAAAAAAAAAAAAGGCTGTAAACCTACATGCAGTTTACCCTGGCAGTAAAATGCCTTTGCTGGAGAGCAGTCTGGGGATTTTTTGAGCTGGGAATGCTGAGGACAACACTAGGCTCACTGCCCACTTCCTCCTACCACAGTCTCTAAATAAATCAAGAAAAGTATCCATGCCATGTTCTTGAAACATCAGTCTTAAATGACAAACCACAATGGCCATGGAGCAACAGAAGACACCAACAAAAGTAGGACACTTTACCTTGGACCATTTACTCTCTTTGCAAAGTAGGTCTGAATAATAATACGCCTGCATCCAATTTTGTTGGTATATATAAATCCACATTAATTCCCAGTAACAGAGATGGTGAAACTGTTTCCACTCTTCTTGAACTGAAATGCATTTTCGAAACGTTTCTTGGGCCTATAAGTCAATTGCATAAAGCTGATCATGCAGATATTAGACAAGGAGATAATAACCTAATGGAAAAATACATAAAACACTTTGTACAGAAAGAACAAATTATCACTCATTAAGCCACTCAATATGACATTACATTCTCTTCCTTATGTGCGGTGATATAGTTAGATTCTGCTGTGTTACTTCACTTTGTGAGGGGACCTTGTACTTTGTAACATGAGAATAGGAAAGCCCCTTTCCAAGTGAGAGAAATGTTCAAATTCTTTCATAATACACAGACTATAATAATTAAAGAACTTCCTGGGACAAAACACACTTTAAACACAGTTTCAGGCACTGGGTAGGCAAATAGAAAGCATTGGTGCTCACAAATCAGCAAAGGGTTAACTGAGCCTTAACAGAAAAACTGGTAAAGATGTAGTAACCAGGCAAACCAGAGGAAAGAACAAACCATCAATAAACATACAACAAACTGACAAACTAGTTAATCATATTTGAAACGTTGGGCTAGGAATGCAGCTTGGTGACAAAGCATTTGCCCAGCATGCACTAGACCCTAGATTTCACAAGCATGACAAATAATAGTAATAATAAAGTTATGTTAAAAATTCAATTCTTTTTTTTCACACTTATCATATGGGCAAAAACCTAAAGGACAGAGACATCCAGAGTTGACAGAGAGCACTAGAAATAGAGGTGGTGTTTAAAAATGTACTAATTTTATGTGCATTTGTGAGTGACTGCACATGCACTGCACACATGCATGCCTAGTGTCTGCAGAGGCCACAAGGGGGTGTGAGGTCCCTTGGAACTGGAGTACAGGCAGGTGTGAGCCCCTGGTGTGGGTGCTGGGAATGGAGCATGGAAGAGCAGCAGGTGCTCTTAACCACTGAGGCATCTCTCCAGTCTCAGCTTCTCATTTCTTCACAAAGGGTGAAGTTGAACGACTCTTAGGGAAGAAAGGCAATTTGCCGGATGATATAATGCAAGCACCATGTGACCCAGGATTCAATACCGATGTATCTGTACACAGACACACACATGGTGATGGTCTAGTGACTGCTCTGTACACAGACACACACATGGTGATGGTCTAGTGACTGCTCTGTACACAGACACACACATGGTGATGGTCTAGTGACTGTTCTGTACACAGACACACACATGGTGATGGTCTAGTGACTGCTCTGTACACAGACACACACATGGTGATGGTCTAGTGACTGCTCTGTACACAGACACACACATGGTGATGGTCTAGTGACTGCTCTGTACACAGACACACACATGGTGATGGTCTAGTGACTGCTCTGTACACAGGCACGCACATGGTGATGGTCTAATGACTGCTCTGTACACACACACGGTGATGGTCTAGTGACTGCATCTGTACACACACACACACACACACACACACACGGTGATGGTCTAGTGACTGCTCTGTACACAGACACGTGTGCATGGTGATGGTCTAGTGACTGCTCTGTACACACACACACATGGTGATGGTCTAGTGACTGCATCTGTACACAGACACGTGTGCATGGTGATGGTCTAGTGACTGCATCTGTACACAGACACATGTGCATGGTGATGGTCTAGTAACTGCTCTGTACACAGACACGTGTGCATGGTGATGGTCTAGTGACTGCTCTGTACACACACACACACACATGGTGATGGTCTAGTGACTGTTCTGTACACAGATACACACACACACATGGTGATGGTCTAGTGACTGGATCTGTACACAGACATGTGTGCATGGTGATGGTCTAGTGACTGCTCTGTACACACACACACACATGGTGATGGTCTAGTGACTGCATCTGTACACAGACACATGTGCATGGTGATGGTCTAGTGACTGCTCTGTACACACACAACACATGGTGATGGTCTAGTGACTGCTCTGTACACAGGCACGCACATGGTGATGGTCTAATGACTGCTCTGTACACACACACATGGTGATGGTCTAGTGACTGCATCTGTACACACACACACACACACACACACACACACACGGTGATGGTCTAGTGACTGCTCTGTACACAGACACGTGTGCATGGTGATGGTCTAGTGACTGCTCTGTACACACACACACACATGGTGATGGTCTAGTGACTGCATCTGTACACAGACACGTGTGCATGGTGATGGTCTAGTGACTGCATCTGTACACAGACACATGTGCATGGTGATGGTCTAGTAACTGCTCTGTACACAGACACGTGTGCATGGTGATGGTCTAGTGACTGCATCTGTACACAGACACGTGTGCATGGTGATAGTCTAGTGACTGCATCTGTACACAGACACGTGTGCATGGTGATGGTCTAGTGACTGCATCTGTACACAGACACATGTGCATGGTGATGGTCTAGTAACTGCTCTGTACACAGACACGTGTGCATGGTGATGGTCTAGTGACTGCTCTGTACACAGACACATGTGCATGGTGATGGTCTAGTGACTGCTCTGTACACACACACACACATGGTGATGGTCTAGTGACTGTTCTGTACACAGATACACACACACACATGGTGATGGTCTAGTGACTGGATCTGTACACAGACATGTGTGCATGGTGATGGTCTAGTGACTGCTCTGTACACACACACACACGGTGATGGTCTAGTGACTGCATCTGTACACAGACACATGTGCATGGTGATGGTATAGTGACTGCTCTGTACACACACAACACATGGTGATGGTCTAGTGACTGGATCTGTACACAGACATGTGTGCATGGTGATGGTCTAGTGACTGCTCTGTACACACACACACACACACATGGTGATAGTCTAGTGACTGTTCTGTACACACACACACACATGGTGATGGTCTAGTGACTGCTCTGTACACAGACACATGGTGATGGTCTAGTGACTGCTCTGTACACAGACACATGTGCATGGTGATGGTCTAGTGACTGCATCTGTACACACACACATGGTGATGGTCTAGTGACTGCATCTGTACACAGACACACACGGTGATAGTCTAGTGACTGCTCTGTACACAGACACACACACATGGTGATGGTCTAGTGACTGCTCTGTACGCAGACACACACATGGTGATGGGCTAGTGACTGCTCTGTACACAGACACACACACATGGTGATGGTCTAGTCACTAATCACTAGCAGCCACTTTAGTGCACTTAAATATCCATCTCATGAAAGGAAATACAGCCATCAAAATGAACTAAGGAGACTTAAATATTCTGACCTGGAGGAAGATCTAGGGTTTAATATAAATAGGAAAAATGCTTGTTCTCATCTGTGAGGAAGGATATCACAGACACACAGACACACACACATACCCCTCTCCTACTTCAAGGGAATTAATCAACTAGTTCCTCTGATGAGGGACCAGGGCAGTGGCATCATAGGCAAGAGGTAGGTTCCAAAATCAACACAGAACCAGACAACAGTCAAAGTTTCCTGGAGCACCTTAGTTGGTCATGTGTTATGTTTTATGCATTCTACCATGAACTATTTCATGTACTTTATGTATAAACATTCACTGAGGTAAGTTACCAAGTATGACAATCTATATGCACAAGGTAAAAGCTTGGCTTTTCAGAATTATATTGCCTGCTTCTTACTTTTTCCTAGTCCATGTAGACAACTCTACTCATGCTGAATGACGTGGGATGCAACCCTGCCGCACAGACATGGCCCCTAGATAACCCGTGATGAAATGACTACCTTTTCAACGTTGCCTTTCAGCAGCTCGATTCGGGCATGGTAGAACAGTATGAGGGAGCCCTGTGGAGAAAGGACAGAACACACTTCAACAGACAATGGCGGCTGATGCATCATGGCTGAGACAGACACGGGAACAGTGAGCATACATTTGGGAACTGTTGAAGGAAGGGTGCAAGGAGACTCTCTGCTTCCACAACGTTCACTTCTCCTGTACCTAGAAATCGAACAGACACGGCTCAGTGCTCACGAAACATGGTACATATTTACAACCAACTCCCCAAACGTCACTCATACAAAACAAACTCTCACAGACAAGATGAAAGTGATTATTTTGTCTTCATTTTCATCTGAGAAGTTTATGACTTAAAGAACTCTAGAGCAGACAAATTCTTAAGAAAGGAGTTGGCTATCACAGATTCTTATTGACATTTCTACTTTTCAAGGCAATTTAACTTATTTTACCTCAAATTAAATTTTATTTTTAAAAAACCCGAAGGAGGGGAGGGAGAGGGAGCTTGGATTGGCATGTGAAGCAAGCTTGTTTCTAATTTAAATTTAAAAAATGAAATCAGAAATAAAAACTTGAAAATCTAACATGAATGTGGTAAAATTCAGCAGTCTGATACATAAATCTCATCTGAGAATAGATTTTAAAATGCTCAGTGAGGTATTAGAGAGATGGCTCAGTGGTTAAGAGTGTTGACTGCTTTTCCAGAGAAACCAGCTTCAATTCTTGGCACCCATGTGGTAGCTCACAATCATCTGTAACTGCAGTACCAGGGGATCCAATGCCCTCTTCTGAGGGAACTAGGCACACATGTGGTACACAGACATATATGCACACAAAACACTCATACACATAAAATAAATGCATAAATAGATATAAGTGACATTTTAAAATGTTCATTGAAATCAACCTGCCAAAGATCACTGTAACAAATCTCACTGTCTTCCAACTCAAAAAAGTCAAAAGCAAAAGCTGGAGACCGCCGGCTCTTACCAAGAATCAGGGAGATGTAGGTATGAAAAGCCAGGATAGTAAGGCAACACAGTGGGGACCGCATGCTGCTCCCTGACGCACCTTCCCGCAGCTGCAGAAGGCCCAGGTCCTGCAGAGAATAAATGCATTACAGAAAGAGAAAAATCTGACTAAAAAAAAGTACATTTAGAAATTTTCCCATTTATGTTTTACCAGTTTGGAATCGTGGTACTATTTAATCAGAAACAAACTTCATATTTTAAACTGGCAGAAGACAATCTGGTAAATTCTACTAAGCTGTCCCAGGCGGCTTTATTTGTACATGTAACACAGGCTAGAGTCACCCGAGAGGAAAGCTCACACTGAGGAACTGCCAGGTTCAGACTGGTCTGTAAGCATGTCCGTTAGGGATCATGCTTGACACAAGAAGGCCGCCCACTGTGAGTAGCACAATCCCTAGCAGGTGTGCAGGCTGTGTGAGACAGATGGTTAAGCACGAGCATGAGCAAGCAACACAGCGAGTCAGCAAACAGACTTCCCCAGGGCTCCTTCCTGCCGGTTCCTGCCTTCAGTTCCTGCTGACTGCCCTCAGCGGTGGACCCCCTCCATTTGTTCAAAGTGTTTCATCACATCACCAGAGATCAAACTAAGCCCTTCTATTATGGATCCTAGAGAGAGGAAGAAACTGCCCGTTTCCAAGCAAGACTACATTTCTTTGATAAAAGTATTGATTTTGAGTTGGTAGGAACTTGTCTCATTGGTAGAGCACTTACCCAATCATGTGTAAAGCCAGGCCTGGGTTTCATCAGAAACTACATACTGAGGTGCAAGCTCTATGATGGGCAAGAACACAGGCCTGCAGAGGCCTGCCACCCGGTGGGGAAGGTGGGATAGGACCTCACTATTTTGTGGGACCAGAGTGAGCACCATCAGAACAATGAAGTTAGAAACACCTCACTGGCATGTCTGAGGGAGCACTGTAGAAGGGATGGCACTCATCTCAAACCTAAGCAATGAGGCCCTCTCGAAAGAACTCATTTGAAAAGTTGTTGGGGAAGAGCTCTACAACAGAGAAAGGCAGAAATTTCTGTCAAAATTAAGACAAAATGCTGTTTGTACCCTGTTTCCAGAAAATCCAATAAATTCTAGCAATCTGATAATTCTTGCTGGTAAAAGAGACAGCATCTGTAAGAAAAAATAGAAGTGTGAGTGCACTTAGGGGTAGAAACTAACTGTAGACAATGCAACGGTTAGCCCTAAACTGGTTACAAGTTCAAAAGCTCCCATAAGCCAAACCAAGTTTAAAGTGGCTATGACTCCGTGAGGAGACAATAAACCCTGGCTCTTCCATGATCCTCTAAGCACTGGCTTGGCTCTTCTTGTGTGAAATGGAGTGACACGAAAGTAATTGTAGGCAAGGCTTCTTTCTTTTTTCCATTTTGCTTTGTTTTATCCAGATAGGGTCCCATCTGTAGCTTAAGCTGGACTTGAATTTGCAGTGACCTCCTGCCTCCTAGGTGCTGAATTACAGGCACGAGCCACCCACCAAGCCTGGTTTCTGCAAGGTTTCTTTCAGTTTGTTCTGGAAAGTACAAACCTAAGGTAGTGTTTCATCACTAACAGAAGTAGGGAGCCGCAATAGCTCAGCCCCTTCCTGGGATGTCCCTGAAGGGCCGTGGAGAAGGGACAGTCTACCAGAAATGGCTATATGCAGAGTGGCATACCAATTCATGGCTATAGCCAATGGGTTGCGGCTAGATGGCCAGGGTCTTAGGAGGAAGGAAGAGGTTTTGGATATATCCTCTGAATGGGAGGCACTGTGTCCCAGGCTAACAGCCAAGCCGGCAGTCTTTGGAGACAAGTCAGCCCGCCCCGACACTGACCAATGCATATGGTCTCATGAACATAGCCCTGGGGTCGATAAGCTCCTAAACATGGCTCTTTTTACTATTTCATCTTCTAACCAGTTAAAGCTTGTACAATTTCCAAATCTCTAAATAACACATTGTATTCTGACAGCCTTACTCAGACTCTGCATCTCCCCAGGGATCATAAACAATTGTTTCATAAGTTACATCCCCCCGCCCCATCTTCAAATCCAGAGCCATCATTATCATGACAAAAATATCTCCAACGCAGAAACAACTACATTCTGGGCTCCTTGTTGCTAAAAACCTTACTGATCCAATCAAATCAGGGTGCTACATGCTTCCCCTGTCCTGTGCAATCTAAAGCTACTCTGAGCATGTGCAGAACTTTATAACGTTTACAGCATAGAAAACTGGTCCAGTCCAAGGGCTCACCAACCAAACACAGGTAGAGGTTTGGGATGATGTTCAGACAGAGATACTGGACACTTGGTTTCATCTACACAAAGTTCTAGTTTCCATGTAAATGTTTCCTTACCAAATTAAAGGCCCCTGTTCCAAGCTTGACACCTCCTTCAAATTCATAGAAGAAATGCTGCTCGTGTTTGTTTTTCTGAATTACATGCAGAATAGAAAGGCACTCTCTGGAGTGAGAAAAAAACGACAGAACATCAGTCAAACTAAGTTTTCTTCTTGTATACTATAAATATACAAATTGTATATTATAAATGTCATTACCTAAAATATTATAAAATGCAAAATACAATTTTAAGCCCATCTGTTCCTAAAGCTATTAGGTAATTCCCACCAAGGAGAAAGAAAACACCCATTTTTACAGTGTTTAGGAGGACAGTGTTTGTAACCTTAAAGAAAAAGAGGGATTAAGCCATCAGCAAGCTCAACTTAGGAGCCAGCACCTTCAGCTCCAGCCTCACAGCTTCCCCAGGTGTCTCCCAGGAAGACGTTGGGAGTGTTTAGGTCTCCACTGCTATGAACACTTCTCAGCCCTGCCTTCCACCCTGAAACTCGGGTGCTGCAGGCAAAAAAGATTTTAATTCCCTGTAGTAGATACACCAGGGCTTGCTGACACTATTCCCATCACAACTGCACTGTTTGTCTTATCTTTTCCCTTTGCAGAAGCAAAACAGTGGCGGTGGTGCTGGTGCTGGTGCTGGTACTGGTGGTGATGATGGTGGTGGTTGTGGTGGTGATGATGGTGGTGGTGGTGATGATGGTGATGGTGCTGGTGGTGATGATGGTAGTGATGATGGTGGTGGTTGTGGTGGTGATGATGGTGGTGGTGGTGATGATGGTGATGGTGCTGGTGGTGATGATGGTAGTGATGATGGTGGTGGTGGTGGTGGTGGTGATGATGGTGGTGGTGATAGTGATGGTGATGGTGACGATGGTGAGTTCTCACATATTAGGAAACTGCTATTAAGCTAAATTTCCAGACCTCAGATCATCTTCAAAAGACAATCAAAGGCATGCAAATAGACAGTAAGTGGTAACTCCTTACTGAACTGGTAGCGCAGAGGATGTGTCTCAGTGACAGGACACCTGTTTATCATCCCCATGGCCCCGCATTACATCCCCAGTGCCACAAAGAGCAACACTACAAAACAGTAAGGTATAACTAGGTATACACAATATAATGCAATGTGTAAAACACACAGCTTCCCCTAGGATGCATTCTAGTCAAATCCAGCAAGCTCAGAGTTGCCCTGGTGTTTAAGCAGTACTAACTGACCAAAGGCACTAATTTAGACTCCTCCCAACTGACGACCATCCCACACTGTTGTCTGCCCTGGGCCACATTCGTTGTCTTTTAGAAAACAGATAGACATGATGGCACATGCTTGTTATCCTAGCACTCAGAAGGCCGAAACAGGAGGAATTCTAGGAGCTCAAAGTCAGTCTGGGCCACAGAGTGAGACTCTGCCTCAACACAGAGATTAAGCAGACATGACAACTAAATATCAGCCCCAGGCTATCCCCTAGAATAAAAGGAGCACCGATGAAACAGTTGGACACCAACGGCAGTAGATGCCAGCTTAATAACTGAGCTGTGATTATGTAGTATGTACCTGTGAATCTAAGAGAAAGATCTATGAAAATACTTTATGACAAATATCTCAAAGAAGAAGTTTTTAAAAAATTAATTGTGTGTGTTTGTGTCTGCATGTGGGTGTATTGCTTTGTGTATGGGTACCCGAGGAGACCAGAGGCATCAGGGGCCTTGGATCTAGAGTTATAGGCAGTCACTGAACTCGGGTCCACTGCATGAGTAGTATGAACTCTTAACCACTGAGTCATTCCAGCTCTCATAATGAAAATTTTTAATGGAAGTTTAAAAGCTGATTTTAAATTATAATTTCTTAAGATGATTATATCTGTAAATCTTAATATATATGAAAATTATAATGAATTATCTCAAAGTAGAAAATTTTCACATTAAGTTTAAAAGCTTTTTAATTTTTAAGATTTATAGCAGATGCGTGTGTGTGTGTGTGTGTGTGTGTGTGTGTGTGTGTGTGTGTGTGTATACAACTGGCCTCTGATTACCTGGAACTGGAATCACTGGGATTCGTAAACCACCAAAGTGGGTATTGAGATCCAAATTTTTGTTCTGTGACAAATCAGGAAGTGCTCTTAACCTCTGAGGCATGTCTCTAGCCTCAAGCTTTAAATTTTAAGATCATAAAATGTTCCCCTATGTTCTTTCCTAATAACTTTAATTTTTTAAATGCTAGATATTGTTGAAATTCATTTTTATATTAATGAGTTTTTTTCCTTAAAACAGTTTTCCAGCTGGGCGGTGGTGGCGCACGCCTTTAATCCCAGCACTCGGGAGGCAGAGGTAGGCGGATCTCTGTGAGTTCGAGGCCGAGCTGGACCGACAGCCTCCAAAACAATACAGAGAAACCCTGTCTCGTAAAAACAAACAAACAAAAAACAACAACAACAACAAAAAAACAGTTTTCCAAAAAATGTTTATTTAAAATATTTCTCTTTCAAACAAAAATGACAAAGACCCAACTGGGTAGTGGTAGCACACACTTTTAATTCTAATACTGGGTATGGGGCAAAAATATTTCTCTTTCTCCACCATTTTGAAAGGATTCATGTATAAATAGGAATTTAGTATAGTGTGAACTTCTAGCTAAACATCAGTGTGTATAAGTACATGCGTGCACGTGCACACACACACACACACACACACACAAACCCTGTTTCAAAGCCCTGTCACTGAACTGATACAGGTGTCTTTGTCACCATACAAATGTTTAAAATAGTTCTTTAAAGTTCTGATGACTGGAAAAGCAATCAGCTCTTTAATCTCCTAAAAAATACTTGGAAAGGAAATCTAAAAACATTATGCCAAGTTTTCCAAATCTGCTCTCTCTTGCAAGCTTTTTTTTTTTTTTTTTGATTCTGGGTTTACATAATGACTCCTGGTAAAAAGGGCCTCTTGAAATACTGCATCTGGTAATGGGAATTGTTCCCAGTAATGGCAGGAAGTTTATGTGAGATTTCCCACACATAACAATTATAACCCTGAAAACTACACAATATATAGATATATATTTGAAATATTTTGCAGCTTGGAAACTGAAGATGGATGGAGTAGGCAGAAACTGGAGAAGAGCTAAATGTGAAAGCAGGAAATAGCTCATGAATTAACTTTATATCTGTGTGTCTATGTGCCTGCGAGCATGTCCCACTCCTTATGGGGTGGGTGCACAGAACCCATCAGTAAGCCACAGATTTACTGGGTTAAAAGTCAGAAGATGGAGTTCAAGTCAGCTAGAGAAGCCAGGTGGACATTTCCATAGAAAGAGAACTACACTGATGGTAACACGAAAATTGATGTCACAACACTGGAAGTCTTGGCTGACTCATCAGCTATGTGACTAGGGAAGGGTCCAAGAGGCAGCAGAAGACTGCAGAAGTGCAGGTACGATGTCCCTACAACAGTAAGAATCTGTTCTAAGCAAATGAACTGCTTCCCAGAACAGAGCTTGGCACACTTCAAGGAAAAAAACGATGACAGAATCAAGAGTCTCTACAGATATATTAACATCTAGTGTACAATTTAAAAATCATTCCACAGGAAAACATAGTTAACAGAAAAAGCAATGAAAAGAAATTGACTTCAAGATGACCCACATGTTGGGTCTAATCTAAAATAAAAAATAGGTGTGGGTATGTATATACTTTGTTGAACATAATCAGGCAATTAGAGGTTCATAGGATGCAGAAGATGATGCAGAAAAAAAAAAACTTTGAAGAAATAATGGCCACAAAAGCCTAAAACCACACTCAAACTGCCGAAGTGCAAAGATACAACATAGTCTTCAAGGAGACCAGAAAAAAAAAAAAGCCACGTTAGACATACGGAACAATTACACAAACAGCGGAGGTCTGAACAATACAAGCACTGGTGAGACAGAATGGTAGTTATAAAGGGCTGAAAACAACACCCTAACAACTCAGATTACCATACTTAGCAAGAATATCCTTGAAGGTAAAGGTCAAAATAAGCTTGTTTTCAAATAAATGAAAACAGAAGAAAACTGTTTACAGTTGATACTATGCAGGATGCTAGTTCATCAGCATAAAGATGAACAGAAACGAAGCCACTGTGGTAAGCAGAGCAGAGTAAGATGGAGGACTTAAGAACAAAAGGTGGATGCTGCATTATGGGTTTATGATAAACATACAGAGCACATCGTAAGAACAGTTAAAAGGCTGTCCTATAAATGGTCAATTTGACACAGCCTAGAGTTGCCTGAGAAGGGATTCACAAATGAGGGATTATCAAAATTAGACTGGCCTGTGGGCAAGTCTGTGAGAGACTGATTACTAATTGCTTTAGGAAGATGCAGTCCACTGTGGGCAGCATCATTCCCTAGGAAGGTCCTAGATTATGTAAGAAAGCTGATTATGAGCCTATGCACGAGACAGCAAGCAGGTTTCTTCACAGTTTCTGCTTCAAGTTCCTGCTCTGACTTCCCTCAATGATGGACCGTGGCCTGGAAGTGTGAGCCAAATAATCCCCCTCTCCCCCTAAATTGCTTTCAGCCTGAGTATTTTATCACAGCAACAGGAAGGAAGCAAGAACAAAGACCAACTGACAGCAATGAAACTGTTTACAAAGTTCTTACATTTTACCCACCACAGCAATTATAACAAGCCAAGAAGGACATTATAATCACTACAGCAACCATAAAAAAGAGACACAAAATTATAGTAGGTTTTTTTTTAAGTTTTTATTAAAGCAAACCAAATGTAGTGGCACATGCCTGCAATCCCAGCACTCCAAAGTCTCAGGCAGGAGAATCAGAGGCTTAAAGGCAGGCTGCGCTATATAGTGAACCTCAAGGAAACAATATATAAATAACAACATAAATACAAAATACACAAATAAATCTTAGGAGAGATAAAGAAAGGCTACCTCACCAGAAACTATGTCTGCCACTTTCTCTTCCAATATTTGCTCTTGGAAATGTATGTACATTTAAACCTCTCTGTCCTATAGCACCGAGTACACTCGGGCAAGAGTCAAGTGCATTTACCAACACCAAATGGAAGAAATCTAGCCACACTGAGTTCGTAGGAATGTTTAAGAACAGAACTGTACAGCCCAAGAATCACTTTACAAATTAATCAGTGGGATGATAACACTTGACTACAAAGCCAACACTTGGGAAGGTGAGGCAGGCAAATCAAGAGTTCCAGGCTAGTCCAAGCTATATAGAATGAAAGCCTGTCTTCAAAAATATGTAATTTAATTTAATTTCAACTTAAGTCAAATCTTACTTTGTAACTTACTTATATATTTGGTAACTTGTTCTAATTTTGAGTCCACCTTTGATGAAGTTGATCATATTTTCATCCTGAAAATAATGCAATTAAATAATTAGAGCACTTAAAGGGGAAAAATTAAACAGTATGTATTGTATAATGAGAAAAGTGTGTGTGTGTGTGTGTGTGTGTGTGTGTGTGTGTGTGTGTGTGTGTGTGTGTGTGTCTGTGTGTTTCTGGGAATGGAACCTAGAGCATGCTAGGTAAACAAACCAAGCTGTATTCCTAGTCCCAAATGTATTTTTGAGTGCATAATTTTGAAGTCGACATGATTCTCCCTTTACATTTGAACTATGTCGTTTTGCAAATTTTCTTACAAGTTTGAAGGTGGTGAAAATACACTTTTAAAAAGCTTGCATTACCTTGTATTTCTAAGAAAGTAATTGTCACAAATGTAGTCCAAAGCTACTTCAGTAAACATCAGCATCTACTGAACAATATTCCTGAGGGGTCAGTGGTATCCAGAACACTTGGCTACACAAATCTGTTTTCAGGCCAAACTCTCCATCCACCATACCCAGTAAATGGGATAATGGTTCTTCTTTTGATGATGCTTGGACAGGCAAGTCTACTTAACCCTGTAGATTGCATTCCTATAAACTTGCAGACCAAAAACCACTGATCTAAATTCTGAAGTGGTTGTCACTAATATGCAATATGGAGGTAGGGGACCGTTTTACTTCTCTTTGCCTGAGGGTTATCAGTCATTAAATTGAGGCAGTTGGCCTAGATGAATGGCACTTTCAGGACCAGCATTCTAAAAGAGACTCCTAATAAATTACACCAAATAGCCAACTGTGTGCTAACAGACAAGCCCATGCTCCACACTTCCAAGGAGATTTGCGAAAGAGAAACTCTTTTAGTTTACTATTCTTATTAGTTACTTAAATATTTAACATTCCTATTATTATACAAGTCAGTAAATACAAAATTCATGATGCAACGTCAACGTTTACAGTCTTATTTTAAAAACTCATATTTACACAAGTTCAAATACAAGACAGAAAGAAATTTCTTGGGTTAGATTAAAGTCTGATTCAAATAAGATTACTTCTCTCCATGATTAAGCAAACACTGGCCAAATGCTTATCTTGTGCTGGGCGCTTGCAATGCAAAAGCAATATGATGTGCTAAGTGACTACACACGCACAGATGTCAAGAAAACACAAAGTGGGGCATGACGTCAGCCAGAATGCCCCCTGAAAGCATTGGAAAGACAAGGGCAGACCAGGGAAGGAAGGAAAGCAAAGCGCTCCTCGGCTGGACGCACCAGGAAGCAGGCACGGCCATGCCAGCATCTGCATGTATGGAGGTGAGAGCTAGCGGAGCAGCTACTGCAGAGAAGGAAGGCACCAAGGACAAGGGACTTTACCTTGACCCCTGTGCCTAGGGTCAGTAGCACCTGAGGACAACCATAGGAGGAGAAGCAGGGGATTTCAGGGAAGGCACCACTGCAGCCTGGAAATCCCTTCCCAATTTGTCCATGAAAGCCATGACATGCAGAAGCAGAAAATAACAAGGCGAGAGTCTCATTTCTGACTGAGTCCTCAATCACAGAACATGGGACTAAAAGTAAAAAGAAACCAGGGACAGAGTCACTCAACTGCTGTACCATCCATTTGGCAAAAGCTGATGAGCACCTCTGCAGGGGCAGTGGGAGCACGGAGGAAGGGGTGGAGCTGATGAGCACCTCTGCAGGGGCAGCGATGGTGGGAGCATGGAGGGAGGGGTGGAGCTGCAGATCCTTAACCAGCCAAAGCATGGACACAGAAGTGATCACAGGCAGACATGAGGAAGACGGAGAGGTCATGGACATCTCCAAGATGTTTGACTTCAAGTCCCCAGTTACAAAACAAACTTGAAAACCCAACATTTGATTGCCAAATCTCCATTTGGAAAATGCATAAGGAAAAACCTGGGGCTTCTGTGACTTGCATCATGATGTTACTGAGGTGATGAGACTGTTATGGTTACCTGTCTGGGTTTTGTACAGGGCTTCGGGGAACAGGAAAAAAGGGCCACACTGATTCAATTTTACTGAACCATAATCTAAGCTAATGTGTCAACTTGAAGGGGGAAAATATATCACCACCAAAAACAACAAACAAAACAAAAATACCAACAACAAAGAAATAACTTCAAAATAATTTAGAAGTTTGAAGTGGTTTTCTGCTTCGTTATCATCTCTGCTGTCCCTCACGACAGTCATCACTGGGCCATAATGCAGAATTCATGTTTCTAGAAGCATTGGGACACACATAGGTAACAGGTGAAATTAAAGTACCTCCTAAGAAAAGGATTCCTTGGCTTTTAAAAACTATTCTGGCCAGGCGTGGTGACCAGCAATTGGGAGACAGAGGCACGTGGATCTCCATGAGTTCAAAGACAACCTAGACTTATAGAGAGTTCCAGGCCAGGGACAGCTACAGATTGAGACCATGTCTTGAAGCAAAAGCAAGAAACGGGAATGAGGATAGAGAGGATGGGGGTAGATAAAAATTTCAAGGGACCATGAAAAAGGTGGCTACCCATGCACGTGGAACTGAGTTTCCCAGAAGCAGGTAACACAATTAAGTGATGTGCAGAAGTCTCAGCACTTAGAAGGCAGAGCTAGGGGATCTCTGTGAGTTTGAGGCCAACCTGGTCTACAGAGAAAGTCCCAGGACAGTCGGGCTACACAGAGAATAGAGAGGGGGCTTCTCAGCCCAGGCAACTCTTGTTTTCACACTAAGAAGCATCTAAAAGCCATTTGAAACAGCCACTAAGTACATCTGAGTGGGAATACAGCTCTCTGGAGACTTTTTTTCAGGCAAACTTTATCAGGATAACAAATATCTTTCATTACCACTCTAAGTCTCAGTGCTAACACACGATGAGCAACATTTACCGCTTTCTACACAACGCTGGCAGGCTTCCCACACAACCCCAATATTCAGCCAAACGTTTATTACCTGCACAAACGTGAGTGCTGCTTTCTGTAGGAGACACTCGGCATAACAGATTTCGGCATGCATCTCCTCTGTTAAAAACAAATATAATTATATTAAGACACAGCATTTCTCTAGACATTCTGAAAAGACTGAAAGACAAATGAGCCCAAGAGAGACACAAAGGCAGAGACTGCTTCCGCACATGCTTCCAGAGAAACAGAATGACTTGTTCTTAGTCCTGGCACAAGAGTTTCCTGGAAACGAGTGAACTGTTCCAGGAAGTCATCTTCAGCCCATTCAACACTGACAGCAGAGTGAGGCTTGGACAGAAGAAGAAACCAACTGCTTGTTTGAGACAGAGCCTCACTTTGGAACAGGACCGAGCAGGTATGGAACTCACTAAGTAGTCCAGACTATCCTTGAATTCATAGCAATCCTCCTGCCTCAACACCTTGGTTCTGTGATTATAGCATGAATCACCATGCCTGACTGAGGAAAACAAAATTCAAAAGCCCTTTTGAAAGAAGAAAACTACCTAAAAATAGTCATATCATAAACATTTAGCAGTTGTATAGATCAAAAGGCTCAATGGTTTCTAGCTTCTAAACTATGAAGTCATGGGCATCCTGACAATGATCAGGTACACTGTCAACCTGTTAACAGCCGCCACTCCCTGAGGTTGTAAGAAAACCTACTGTCCTACATGCACAAGTCAGGACTCCTTAGAGACAGCATCAGAGTAGCTGCACTTTCCAATTTACAGTGCTTTCAGACCTGAGCACAAGCACAGGGTGCTCACAAAGAGAAGCTCCCAAAGCCATGCCCAGCCCAGGGGTGTACACGCCACCCCAAACGTGCCCTGACTTCCTGGACAGCCTGTGACATTTGCAGAGATCAGGAAAAGAAATCTTTATGTTTCTGCATAAACAAAATCATAAGACTCCTTTCTCCACGAGAAGCAAATTGGTGTGTTATTTAAGGAAATGAGCTTGGAGGAAGGACTGCCACATAGTACACAGCGCCATACAGGCTGCCCTCCCTCTCTTCTGGTCCCCTCATTCATACTGCCCACTAATACTGTCTCTGCTTTGCAACTGAGTATTGCCTGTAGGGCTTACCAGACACAGTAAACCCTGATGAATGCTGGCAACTTTTACCATTGTTGCTTGGCCCGTGTCTGTGCTTCCTGGTAAAGGTTCAGAAGGCAGAGGACAACTCAGGGCAACTGGAAACACTGCTGAACAGACTAGAAAAGAGTGTATGTTCTCCTTCCTTTATACACACATAATCCACGGGCTCTCTCATACAGACTCAACTTAAATGTTCAGTTTACCAGGCAGTAACAGGCAGCTAAGTTCCCCAGCAACAGTTAGGCAGACAGGGTAGAAACCACCAGGATGTAGTGTCTGTTGTCTGCCCATTCTGGCATTGCCACCGGTCAAGATGGCAGTCTCCAGACACCCTCCCTCCAAATGAACCTCCTCAGTATCCTCAGAGGAATTCAAACTGGCAGCTTATTTTCAGTAACCCAACTAGCCTCCTCCTAGGTAACTGTAACAAAGTGACAACCGTCTGAGCCACCTTGGACAGTGCCATACAGATACCAGACAGATACCAGAGTCACACTGGGGCCAATTTCATCCCCCATGGATCATCTCTGGAAGACTTTAGGCCTACTAGTATCAGTTTTTGTTCTTATACATGGTTGAAGGTCAGCTTCTAGTGAAAAAGAAGATGGATTTCAACTGCCTATGGTAACCAACAAAACAGCATCTGTTTCTGTCATGGTTGAGTCAACACTACTCTATGTTTCAGCAAGTCCTAAAGAAGTGATGTGTCACAATTCTCAACTGTAATCAACACTCAAATGTGCGTAACTTCTCCCATGTCCCAAATAAGCTGATAACACGCCTAGAAAGCAAACAAAGGCCCATGATAAATTTCCCTCAGGTGTGCAACATACATCTGGTCATTATGATAGCCTCTGACGGCCATGCCCAGAGCTGTGCCTGCTTTACCCAGTCATGGCTACTTCCAGTATTTTGTACTGACTACCTCTTCCACAGGTCAAGTTTGAAAATGACAATATACACACCAAGTCTTCTGAGACAGCCCTGCTTCTACAGAATTACCTGGATGCTCCGTGGTGGTGGACCACCCCTCTTTATAGGCTGGTTACGTCACTTCTACCTTCATCTGACTGGAAATATGAAATTGACAACGATGTTTCCTCCCACCTATCTAATCAAATGCTATAGATATTCCTGGACTCCTGGCTCCTCTTAAAGCCCATAAATCATCAGCTATGTAGACAAGCATTATCATTTTTAAAGGTATAAAAACTACCCAGATACAGTGGTGCATGCCTTTAATCTCAGCACTCGGGAGGCAGAGGTAGGTGGATCTCTTTGAGTTCAAGGTCTGCCTGATCTACATAGTGAGTTCAGACCAGTGAGGACTACACAGGAAGACCCTGTTTCAAAAACAAAAAAAGTACTTTCACCTTAGAAAAATGTTAATAGTCTGTATAAAATGAACCTCTCCAAGGTAGATGAATATAAAGGTTTTCTGGGAGAAAAAAAATACCAGTATCTATAAATACTACAAAATTTTAAGCCCTTTGTTGTAGTAATTCTTCTTTTAAGAAACTGACTCATGAAATACTTGAAAGAATAAAGACATGTACAAAGGTTTTTAGGACAGCAAATTTTACTAACAATGAAAAATTAAAGCCATATAGCTGTCCTTCAGTGAGAAAAACAACAACACACTGATGTACCATCCTGTTCATGACTACACAGCTCTGAACAGTAAAATGCATTAACACACACCGATGTGGGTCCAGATCACACTGGAACGTGTGTGGTTCAATGTTTGCATGCGTGCAACACACACACACACACACACACACACGCGCGCGTGCGCGCACACACGCACACACAGCAAATGAAAAGCAAAACTCCACGTGTCCCTTACATACCTCAGTGCTTGTACCCATTGTGTCCACAGCTGAGGTGGGTTGGATATGAGAGGCACAGGGAAGAGCAAAGGACACTTCCTCATCGTTCCCAATTCAGTGATGGGCTGCAGGACAGGGTACATCTTTCTCTCTAAAGGAAAGGAGGTGCAAGCTTCCACCACACTCTTACCTTCACTCAGTTGCTCCAGAGACCCACGAGAAAGGAGACTTGAGAAAGACTCTACAACTGTGCATTTCTTCCTGTATCTGCATTGAAGACACACAGGGGAAAGAGAATAGAAGGGAAAAGGCCAGCATCAGACTGAGCTCGTTGTCACTGACAGTGGTTTCAATCTCGCTGGAACTCTAAGCTCCAGGTCTGCAAGGCCAAGCCCTCATCTTCCAGTGCTGCATACACAGTGAGTGCCTAGTCCTGCACTGCCAACTATGGGCACTCAACCTACCAAGCATGGTGCAGAGCCCACACAGCCCACTGAGCACAAACCTTACATAAGCCTCCCCTCATTCTTCTGGATAAACACAGAATTCTTTTATCTTATTCTTCTGTAGTAAGCATCTCCACGGGTGAAAAAATGGACTGTTAGGAAAATGTTCTTCATTGAGGATTTACAATGTAATTAAATGAAGATTCATCTTACCCACACCGAAATTCACCAGTACAAATAATACCTTTCACTGAGACCTTCTACATGCAGAGTAGAGTTTAAAACTGACACTCTCAGGTTGGAGAGATGGCTCAGCCGTTAAAGGCTAGAATCACAGCCAAAACTGATACTCTATCCCATTTTGATAATTCACAAGTGTCTAAATGCATCCTTAGGCAAATAAAAATTCCCTTCTGAATGTGCTGTTTCTCCCAACAGCATACTCACTGATGACCTGACATGGTGCTCAGTTCTTAAACTCATCTACCTCAAAAAAAACCTAGAAAGATGCTCTCTGCTAACCCTTCCTAAGCCTCCCTCAGACTCTCACTGTAGTTCAGACCCCACGTATTTAGCAGTGGGTACAGGAGCTAAGATGGGAGCCACGTTATAATTCTTGAATTAGCTTAGCAAAACTACATCCATCCACTCAGCACTATGGCACTCTGTCATACTTTTGGCAGGTTTGCAAAGCGTCCTTCATGGCAGAAATGCCATTCTGGATGTCCTGTTGCTCAAAGGTCATGATAGCCTGCAACACCACAATGGTACTGTATCCCAAGGCGTGGTACATGCTCTCCTTGGCCCTGGAGAGAACAGACAATGAAATACAATGAAATAAAAAGCAACAAAAGTCCAGGTTCTTTCCTTTACCAACAATACCAAATCCTCCCCAAGCAGCTGACTTCTGCTCCAGTTACTGAAATGACAAAGCTCTGAAAGGCCTGCTTTAAAACCACAAGTTCCCATTTAAACACATCAGAACAAAGTGCTGCAGCCAACATGCCTTTCCCCGACTGAGCACAAGGGGGCAGCCTGTAAATTCGTTTCTCAGAAAAAGTCTAAAAGCAAACTGATTCTTCCAGTTGAATAGGTCCATCTTAAAATCTGAAATGAGTGAGGCTTGGTGGCACACAGCTTTGATTCTAGCATCCCAAGAAGTAGAGACAGGAGTTCAGGGATTCAAGGTCATCTTCTGTAAGTTTGAGGCCAACCTGACCTACACAAACTCTATCTCAAAAAAAAAAAAAAAGAAAAGAAAAAGGGAAGGGAGGGAGGGAGAGAAGGAGGGAAGGAGGGAGGGAGGGAAGAAGGGAGGGAGGAAGGAAGGAAGAAGTAAAAAAAACAATAAAGGAAACAGGTAAAGATGCTGAGTCAGAAGACAATCGAGCTAAAAAGGGGTGGTCCAGAAGACAGCGACGAAGGCTGAGGAATACGGATACCACTGGTCACTTGGCATAGGGAATCGAATTTCCCAACCTCAGCATCAAGTCTTCCTCCAGCAAATTACAGAAGATCTCAGCTTTGCGGGAGCTGAGTGGAGACATCAGTTCTGCAAGTCTTTGGTGTGCAGAGCTGAGGGCGGTGAGCGGCGGGGCGGGGCGGGGCGGGGCGCTGCCATACATTTGAAACTTCCATGGCAGAAGCAAAGGGATTTTATAAATACTGAGGCAAATACAGATACGTCAACATAGAAATATGACATCGAGAAACACATGAAAAATATCTAATGAGAAATAGAGCTAATTACCATGGACGAAGCAATTCCAAGGCATCTTTAAATTTGTTACTTAGAAATAAGTTCAATGCCTCTGCACACTCTTCCAGACCACTCTTGAGATCGACCTTGGCTGATGAACTGCAGAAAAAACAAAAAGACAGGATTTTTGTACCTTTTATTTGTTAGCACCTTGTCCCAAGGAGTAGGGGAAGGGGACTATGGTGACCAGCTGCAACTCCCCCTTGCCACTTCCCGATTCTGGGGGAAAGGAACTTCCCCAGCCCTCTGTAAGGCCAGTGCTCTGAGTCTCTAAGACAGCGGGGGGCGGAGGAGAAGGCACACGCATGTACTGCACACACAGGTACACGGTAAGGATGAACCGTGTGCCCGGTCACCACATTAAGATTCGAAAGCACCTAACCCTATGCAGAGGAGAGGAAGTGGAGCCAGACGCAGCAGATGATTTCATTTATTTTGGGTTTGCTCTTTGAAACAGAGTCTGACAGTAGCGCCCAGGCTGGCTGGGACTCGTAGCCCTGTCCCCCAAGTGCTGTAATTGTAGGCATGAAACTCTGCCCCCCATTAACAGACAAAGCCCCTGGCTGTGCAGGCAGTGTCTGCTCTCGTGTTCTGTCCCCCGGCTCACCTTCCTAAGTGGTGAGGACACAAGGAGGAGGCACCTGGCACTGCATTCTCTCTGAAACCATTTCCCTTGTCAGACTTCAAAGAAGATTCGCCCCTGGTCTTCCAAAGGGAAACAGACAAAGAGAAAACGGCACCCCAAAGTACAGAGCTTTGACATGCAGACTATCAAAGAGCAGCTTCAAAACCCATGTCTCTCTAACCTCCCATTTCCTGCCATCCTCCTTCTTTTCATTCTTCTTCTTAGCTATAGCCCTGACCTAAAACTCAATATGTAACCCAGACCAGCCTAGAAATGATGGCAACACACCTGCCTTGGCTTCTAAGCACTAGGGTTTTTAGACATGTGCTACTACATTCTGGGGCATCATTTTCTAAGTCCCCATGCCAACTATGTCTGTAGCATAGCTGGGCCTCCAACTTTCTTATCTGTAAAATGGGAGCATGACAATCTACTTCCTGGGCTGTTGTGTAGAAGAGATGGACCAGCAAACACTGCCCACAGTAGTCACTAACTAGATGAGGGTTTGGGACACAAGGGGTCACACACACGGAGGCTGGATTCTGATGAACATTGTGATTGAAAAGATGTTCCCTAACTGCTATACAGTGGGGTGACTCATGGGAATATTAGGTTTCGGGGGAGGGGGAATTCTATGCTGCATATGTAGCAGGCCAGACAGAAAATGAGAGAAATGGCAGAAAATAGGCCAAAGTCAGTCAGAAACTACAGTGTCAAAGGGGGTGGATTCTATTCCAAGAACCAGAAATCCTGTGGCCCAGCAGTTGTATGTGTGGCAGAGCACACCTTTAGTAAGACCTCTGTAAGCCAGTCTGTTCTACATATCAAGCTCCAAGCCATCCAGGACTAATCTTCTTTCCCTCCCCTGCTGCTGAGTGGTCCAGGCTTCTCTGTACCACACCCCGACCCCCACCCCCAGTTCTCTCTAAGCTCATCCTCTATTACCAGGAAAGGGGTTGTGGCAAGGATGCTCTCCTTGCCAACAAACAGCCACCTCCACATCTCAGCTGCCATCTGGAGGATCCACACCTGTCCCGTCCAGAGCAAACAAAGAAGCCACAGTCCTTCAAAGTTGTTTTGTGTGAGGTCTGCCTAGAGCTAAACCCAGCTACTCCCAGCAGACTTCCAGTACCGCCTACCATCTTGGTCAGGCTTCCTCTTGGAGACACACATACCCTCTGGTCCCAAGGCCATCCCACAAATGGAGAAGGCTACCCCTTCAGAACTAAGCTCCAAAGGTCCCCCAAGAATGCCTTCCTGACGACAGAGGCTTTGCCTTCATGGCATCATCTTAAGCAGGCATTAGACACACCTTGAGAGCTTGTTATTTGCTGACAGCTGGACCCACACTCAAAAGCTTCTAATCAGGAGGGCTGGCATGGGCCCAAGTGAAAGCCCAATTTTGCTTTAATTCATCCTCTATACCACTCTCTCAGACTTCTCTTCCTAAAACAGATTAAGAACCAAAAATGGCCGGGCGGTGGTGGCGTACATCTTTAACCCCAGCACTCGGGAGGCAGAGGCAGGCGGATCTCTGTGAGTTCGAGGCCAGGCTGGACCGACAGCCTCCAAAACAATCAGAGAAACCCTGCCTTGTAAAAAAAAACAAACAAACAAACAAACAAACAAACAAAAAGAACCAAAAATGGCTTCCATGGGGGCCACACAAAGTTCAACAGGCCCAGGAAACAGGTGGGAACCAAGCCTGTCCAATCAGACTAGAATGATGAGCAATATTCTTAAAAACAACCAGGCATCTGGAGAAGGTCATCAACAAGGGGTTCCCCTGAACCCAGCATGACAGAATGAAAAGGATCTTGAACTACAGGTAAAAGTCAGGGTTTCCATTCTCCAAAGAGTCTGCCCATCTCAGAAACACCAAGGTGCTTTCACAACCCACAACCTGTTTGAAAGAAACAACGGCAACGGTTGCTATGGGCACACTTTGTGAGTGTTCCTGCTCTGTGTGAGCCAACAGCTGTGTATAATCTTCAAAAGCCACGCGTGCTCAGCCCACACACTCACATGCTAGACCTCCTGGAACCCTGCCTGTTTCCTGCTTTGTATCCTCAGTGAAGTAAAGACTCCTTCCTAGTTCTAATTCACAAGATATGCTAATACATGGCAGAATGACTATTTTAGTCTTGTATTTTTAAAAATCATACAAAATAATCTATAGCAAATATCTAGAATGATGTTAAAAGTATCCCTTACATCCCAGTCTCATTTTTCCTTCTACAATTACTCAATATGCTTGATTGCAAATGCTGTGTGCCTCCTAGTGAATGAGGATCTTGCCTTTGGAGCCAGACCCTTTGGCTCCTTTCTTGACCTCACCCCAATCCTACATATGACCAACACAAGTCACTTTTCTTCCCTAATACTCAGTTTCCTAACTCATAAGATGTATCTAGCAAAAGGGCCCACATTACAGGCTGCACTATTAATACATATGATGTGCTTGGTGTCTGTGCAGAAGTCCTTAGATAATGTCAGTTTTTAGCATCATAATTCTGTTAATAACTGCTTTTAGTAACTTGGAGTCATTTGTTCACATATCAAAGATTTCCCAAACTATACCAACTCTACTAAACTTTGAGTCATAAAAAAACAGATCACAAGTACAACTCCAATTTTTCTGGGTATGTCTCTACCGTCTGACGAGTCATCATTTAGACTGACTTATTCTGGCAAAGAGAACTGAAGAATGAACAGTCATGGTTAGGCTTGCTAGCAAAGGGGGCTTCTGCTCTTCCATAAGAAACTGAGAACTTAGCAATGTGGATTTCCCAGTTTTTCTGGGTCTTCCCCTTCTAAGGGGTTCCTTGCCATTTGACACATCACATGTATTTCTCTTATTTATCTGGGCTTTGTTCTAGATTCTTCAATCATGAACCTACCATGGATGGCAAGGCACTCTTTCTTCTCCTGTATTAACATCTGGAGGAGATGAGCACTTCCTCCCCCTAGATTCCCTGGGGAGGGACTTTGTTGGTCTGCTTTCTGCTCCATTCCTCCCCTGGGTAGAATGAAGACCCTGAGGCAGAAGGATCACAAGTTCAAATCCAGTGGGTTAGCTGATTGCCAAGTGAGTGAGTCAGTGTAAATGGCCCACCCGCTGGAGCTGCCACCGCCACCACCCTACCTCCTTTTTTCTTTTTTTGTACTAGACATTAAAACCCAAGATTACATAATATTAGCATATCTACCACTGAGTTAAATCACCAGCCTTCATCCAGTCTTTTCTTAAGAAAAAAGGGGCTGTGAGAAGTCTGTTCACTCTGATGCAATGAGCCAAGTAGAGTAGGCTCTGTCACCCCAACCCGCAAAGCAAAACCTGCAACTTTAGCCCAAGATCATGCAGGAACTAAGTAAAACAAACAAATCTCCAAAGCATGACTCCGCATAACCAAGCCTACATCCTTCTCATGCAGTCTTTGTGAATTAAAAAGCTAGGAGTTCCATCTTCATGGGTCAGAACTCTTCGCTGATATCCCAAGTGCCACTATGCCAACAGTTTTCAACCTATGGGTTGTGACCTGTGGGTGAAATGACCCTTTCACAGGGGTCACCTAAGACTACCAGAAAACACAGACATTTACATTATGACTCATAACAGTAGCAAAATTACAGTTCTGAAGTAGCAACAACAATAATTTCATGGTTGGGGCCACAACAACATAATGAACTATTTGTATTAAAGGGTCGCAGCATTAGGAAGATTGAGAAACACTGTTCTACAAAAAATGCCAATGAAACCGGTCTTCCACAGTAGGAACTTAACACTTCAAATGTTGAGTGCAAAAGGGGAGAGGGACAAGACTTTATTCTTTATAGATCTTTACTAAGAGTGTGGGAATTTTGAAAATTTTCCAAATCCAATACCCCCCACTGCACCCAAACACTCCAACAGCCCTCATCTAATGATTCAGGCACACAGATCCAGAGGCTCTTAAGCCTACAGCAAACAACCAAATCAGAGTCTCCTGTTATCTTTTCTCTTTAATTAGCCAAGGCAGAGGAGAGACCCCACAAGTTCACATCCACAGTGGGCTATGCACTCAGAAAGCTATCATATAGAAGGCTGGACCAGGAGGAGAACAAGTTCAATGCCAATCTATCTGTGGGGGCAGACCCTGTTTTAACAAGCCCCTCATACACAAATTAATTAAACTCTAAGTGTGGAAAATACAGGAAGATGTGGCAATAGGTATCAAAGCCAAGAAACAATAAAATATGAATGTAAGAGAGATAAAAGTGTGACTAAGTAACACACTGAAAGGAATGAGGTAAAAATCATCATTTCTCAGGGAATGAGGTGTGGTGGCACATGGCTTTAGTACTTTAGTATCTGGAAGGCAGAGACAGGTGGATCTCTGTGAGTTCTGGGCCAGCCTAGTTTCATAGCAAGTTCCAGGACAGCAGGGGTCAGAGAGAGAGAGAGACTTAGTCTAGTCACAGTGTGCTCATTCTT